GGAGATGTGATGCTCGATCCCCTTTTGCGTCAGGAATGTCTGCATCTGATTGCTCCTGAACTCTGCCGCGCCGTCGGACTGCCAGATCTTGAGCTTCTTTCCAGATTGCCGCTCCGCATGTGCTAGCCAGAGGCGGAACACCTCGTAGGCTCTGTCGCGCGTCTCCACGTTCACGACCCATACATAGCGTGTTCCTGCGTCGATGAAGGTAAGCGTGTAGAGTTCGTCTTCGATTCCGCAATGCCCCACGTTCAGGAAATCGCTGTACACTTTGTGCAGCTTGGGGTATCGGTTGGTTCCAGGTTCGAGCAGCGGGAACGGTTGGTGGCTCAGCGCAGCTTCGGGGCAGACGGTGCAGTTGCGCGGATGTGTCGCGCCACTCACTTCGGAGCCATCAGGGCGCAGGAGTGCGCCAGGAGCGAAGACGCCAGCGTCGATGCAGTTTTTGAGCGTCGCGCGGGAAGGGTGTCCGAGGCGCTGGTGCCAGAGTGCATCATCAGCGCGAAAGCCGGAGGTGCGCATATAGCGCGCGCGCGCTTCCTCAGGGTCTTCGTCAGGTACAGGAGCAGGTTCTGCTGCTACTTCTTCTGCTTCTTCTTCTGCCGCGGTGGTCAGCATCAACGCCAAGAACTCTCTGTCGCGAATTTCAGAGAGCGGGATGTTGGTCCCAGGGATGGTTCCAGGGACAAGGGTAGGTTGGCGTGGTTCAGGGGCAGGTCCGTAGATAGTGCGACGCGGGGTTGACGGCTCGTTGCCCCAGGTAATGGTGTCCCACGGGTCGCGATGCGGGGGAATGTCTGCAGGAGGTGGTGCGAGGGGAATGCGGCGCGGGGGACGACCGAGAGGAACGACTGCAGGTGCTGCTTCGGTCTCCGCGGCTTCTTCCTCTCCCCCCCTTCGTTCTTCGCGGGAAGTGCCCCAGCCGCTATTGTCGGCGCCAGATGCGGCGCCCCATCCGCCGGTTGCGGTTGCCCAGGTTCCGCCTGTGTTGCCCCAGTCGCCAGCCTCAGTCGTTCCTTGTCCGCCGACGCTTCCCCACCCCCCTTCATTGGTGGCGCTTTCTTCAGCTTCGGCGCCCCATGCGGCGCAAGCGAACGTTCCGCGTGCCTCGGTGAGGCTTTGTTGGCGAAGCTCTTCTGCTTCGCGGCGCGCCAATTCTTCCTCCTGTTCCACGGTGAGCTTCGCCGTGGGGTCGCGTCAATGTGGGTAGATCTGCAGAAAATCCGCGCGAGTGTAGGGGCGTGCCAAGCCACGCGCATCGAAGGTACCGACACCAGTTCCACGAAGCATCCCTCGAAGATGTTGAGAAGGGGGACCTGTGAGGGGGTGCTCAGGCGTGCCGAACACGCCATGTGTGGTGACTTCGAGTTCGAGTTGCGACATCCCTTCATCGGGGGGCGCGTTGCGTTCTGCTTCCGCGATGGCGGCGAGTCCGCGGCCTGCGATTGCGCTCGTCGAGGTCGTCGGCGTGTGACAATCCCTGCAGATTCCATCTGGATCGGGGTTGTGAAGTGCCGTTTCGCGTGGGTGGGGATGATGCGGCACCCACGGCCTGCCGTCAGGGTGCTTCCAGTCCCTGCGGTGGATGTGTTCGAATCGCAGTGGCACGAGGTCAATTAGCTCGTGCGAGTCGCCGCTGCAGTCGGGAATGTCGAAATCCAGGATGTACACTCCATTTTCGGAGTGTGCTCGTCCGATCTGTCTGCGGGGGAAGTTGCGCGATTCGTAGTGCAGCAGAATGTCGCGCGTCGCGCGATCTGTGCTGAGTTCTACGCCGCAATCCATGAGCTGTGCGGCGGACAAGAGGTTGAAGCGCAGGTTCTGGACGATCAGCACATCGTTGAGTGTGATGTGCGTGCGGCTTCCGCGTGCTTTGAGCACAACGATGCCTTGCGCGTTTGCGCGCAGGCGCGTGTTGTTCGCCACTGTGACGTAAGTGACTGTAGGAGTGGGGACGGCGTTGGATATGTAACGCTCGGAGCCCACCATATGCTGGCCGCAGCAGCTGTCCAGGTACCAGGTGTTGTAGCGCTTGTTGTTGTCACGTGCGAGCAGCGCCAGTCGCGGCGTGACGATGTGCGGGGTATCGAACTTCAGAAATTGCTCGCGCGAGAGCCAATCAAGTGGCGCCACCCGCATGTCTGGCACGTGCGGTGGACTCTCAAGCAGCGGGACTGGGAGATTCCAGTCCTGGTCGTCGTCGTCGGTGAAGTCATGGCGCGGACTGAATGGGTTGTTGTTGGAGAACGCGCCAATGGGGTGCGGTGCTGGCTCAGGTGATGGTGAGCGCACGCGGCGACGACGCGACTCGCCTGTCATGGCCATGTTGCTCATGACATTGCGTACTGTGGCAGTCGGTGGCGGCTGCTGCTGCTGATGCTGAACCGCGGGGTTCAGGTTGCGCGTGGGAGGGGGCTGATAGCCCTGGGCTGGACGCACGTCGCCTCGTACGTCTTGTCGGCCGGACCAGTTGCTCGGATTGGTCTGGCGAGGGCGAGATCGGGACTTGCATCGATCTGCCAGATGCCCGAAGTTCCTGCAGATTTTGCAGTAGAGGCGCCTCGGACGTCGCTCTTCGTTGTTGTCGGCGTAGAAGGCGATCCGTTCTCTTTCTCGTCGTGGCGCTGGTCGCTGCTGGTCCATATCCCGTTGTTCGACGAGAAGGGCGGCGCAAAGGGCGGCCTCCGAGATGACCCCCTGCTGTCGGAGAAGCGCCTTGCAGGGCCGCCACTCTGGGCCGAGCCCTTGAAGCACAATGTTGACGAAGATTTCCTGCTTCAGATATTGTGCTTCCCAACTTCACGATCTGATCGCGAAGGCTCCGACAGCGATTAAGGTAAGTGTTGACCTTCTCCCCTGAGATCATCTTGGTTTCCAGGAGTTCCTGGAGCAGTCGGCTCGACGAGACAGAGTCCTTGGGCTGATACACTCCTGTCAGGTGTCGCCAGGCGTTGAGGGCTGGAGCAGCTGTCGTTTTGTACGAACGGATGTTCAGCTGCTCCGCCGGGGACATATTCCGCAGGAGCACCCCGTACGCCATCAGTGATTCGTTGTAATACCTCGCCTTGGCGTCGTCGGTGTCCTCGGCAGGCTCGGCGTAGCTCCCGTCGAAGTAGTGGAAGATTTGGGCGTTCTGCAGCAGGAGCTCCAATTCGAAGCTCCAGGTATAGAAGTCTCTGCCGTCAAAGCTGGAACTTGTCTTTATTTTTGATATGCTCAGAAACTTTGATTGAGCTGAGAGAATTGCCTCTTCACTGGGACGGGGAGCCTTGGGGGTTGAGCCATTTGTGTCGAGGGAGAAGGTTTGCGGGACGGTGTTCTGCCCAGTTGGGCCCGGTTGGGTTGGTTGCGAGGATGTTCCCGCATCGCCGTTCCGCAATGTTTGGAGCCCTTGCTCCAGACTGGTGAGTCGCTGAAGAAGTTGTGCGAGGACTTCGGTGCCGATCGTAGTCGTTTCCTCGCTTGTCGCAGCCGGATTGGTGCGTGCTTCAGCCGTCAGATTAGACTGACCACCAGATCCTCCGGCCATTCTCACACGCGAGCGTGTGCCGGTCGCCACTTTCCGAGTGTCGCAATTTTCGGGAGTGGTGTTGCGAAGGATTCCCGAGCCGCTCTCATACCATGCTACGATCAGAGAATGATCGCTAACCAGGATCTACTCGGGAAGGTTCGCACACAGGGAAAAGATTGGTTGGTGGGCCCGTGATCTCAATAGCAGAGTGAATGTAAATGCTTGAGATGATTAAAACATGCAAATACAGCGAGTATAAATATGAGTACAGGGAAGACGAAACGACCTAGCTAGTCATGTACTCTAAGGGGTACATTCCCTTATTCAAATACATTCAACCGTGCGGCGCGTACAGTTTCGTAACTGTTCCCGCCAAGAACATCCTGCCTGCAGCTGTCCGATGCCGTCTGCCTCCGACGGTCCAGATGCGTCCCAACTGTCTGACACTTCGAGTCAAACTCCAACTGTCTGACGGTTCGCTTTCTTGCTTCGATACTGCGTACTTCTCTTTGCTGCGGTGAGGAGTGCTCAGTAACAATTACATGTTACTATTCGTAACAGTTTATTGCAGTGTTGTAGACAGTTCTCGGTACTGAAGGTCGCTACGTGTCAGTTGCTGGGAACGAGTGCTGGTCCGCATTTTGTTGAAACATTCGTGCAACCGTTGAAGGGATCGCACCTTCATTCCTGGTCGTCTGAGATTGAGGACGTGTCTCGAACGAGTAAGCCCACGCGGACCCGACGGACCAGCTCGAGAACCGGCGTGTGAACCAGCAACGGACTGGACCAGGGTTATGGCTTCATTCCCGTTGTAGTGTTCGAATGGCACTACAACGGTGCCTTCGATTTGGTCGCCAAACCAGTCCGCCTCTGGTCCGTAAACAGTAGTTTCACGAACAGACTTTGCGAATTCTCTAACTCGTGATTTTCGCACAAGATTATCAGGGAAGCTTCAACGGGCACATAATAGGATAACTCAATTTCGGCAAATAATTGTTTCGTCACCTTTGCTGCAATTCGCAGGGACTGTAGCAACACATCAAACAGACCAGTCCGCTTCTGGTCCACGGCTGGTCTGCCAGAAGGGTCCGCCGGACCAGACTTCGGACAAAGCATGCACATTAACGGACTGGGACCAGCGGACCAATCACATTGAGACGCCCTCTGAGAAACCGGTAAGTATGCCGTTCAAGGCACTTCTTTCACGGGCTCACGGATTCGCTCCTTTTTCTGGCTTGTTCAGTTGAAGGCTGCCTTGGGAGAGCTGTGATGTCTGGAATTCTGACGACTCTGGAAAAATGGACAGATTTTTAAGGTTAAGGTTAAGGTTATATTAAGGTCGTAACCATGTACAGCAAAGCATAGAGCAACTAGAAATATGGTCTACACAACCAACAGCCCAAAGGCGTACGTAAGAAACACGTTATTTCCTTATCAACTGATAACCTCCAGCAAGGCTGGGGAGCGCTCTATGCTAAAAAAGAAGGGTCTAGGGGGGACGAAAGGGGTCTCCAAGAAGCCATGACGAGCGAAGATCTGGGTGGATAGAAGGGTTGCCGTCATGATAAAAAATGAAGAAGCGTAGTCGGGTGGCCAGCTTAAGACGAGAGGCCGAGCGTTGCTGTTTCTTAATTGATTGTTTTTTCCTGCGCCAGAGGAAAATTTTGAAAGCTAGGAGGAACTGTGCCAGGATAAACTGGAGAAAATCGAAACGGGAGGAGGGTGAGTCGTGGAATTTATGATCACAGCGCGCATTCCAAATGGCCTTTGCAGACGTGCCTACCAGAAGGCTCCAGGGAGCCACTTGGCCGGCCCTCGAGGCGAGCGGAAAGAGCAAGAGCTCAGGAGGAGGAGAGCAGTGGAGGTGGCGGCGAGCGACAGATGAGAGGGCGGAAATCACCGCAGGAGCCACCCCGCATTCGTAGAAGATATGGGAGATAGTCTCAATGGGAGCAGTAGGGCAAAGTGAGCATGTCCCTCGATCAGCAGCAAAAGGGAACCGAGAGTCCGAGGGAAGAGCACGAGTGTAAAAGCGGTACAGGATGTCGCGCTGTAGGCTGGGTTGTTCTCGTAAAAAATCATGGGAGTAGTTCGGGACAAGAGGGGGAGGAGAGGGGAGGGCGCTGATCCAACGGGCGTCATGGTCAAAGGGCCGCTGGGTGTAGAGGCGACGGCGAAGATCAGCAACACTCGGGCACCCGTCTTGTAAGATGTCGAGCCGCGCGCCGAGACCTGCACCTGTATAGTACGGACCTGCAAGCCAGGATCCGACGACGTGGACCGCGGTGAGGTCACCTATGTGGAAGGTGCCACCTCCGATGGATGAACGGACAATGAGCCGGTTGGGGAGGACACGGTGGAGGGTGGCAGAGAGTGAGAATGGGGGGGAAAACGAGGTAACTTGGAGAGCGAGTGTAGGGGAAGAGTCGGCGTCTTTCGTGGGGAGAAACCACTCCCCAGGGACAGCAATAGGGAGAGGGGGGGAGCGAAGAGCCACCCACCAGGTCTTGGGGATGGCGCGAATAAGGTCCCGCCAGACCCGTCGTCCAGAGGGGGTGTTTGCGGAGGAGCACGAGGATATAAAGTCCTTGAAACGGACCAGGCCCAGTGAGTAGAAAATGATTGATACCAAGTTGCCGACACGAACTTGCGAGGACAGGAGGAAACGTTCACGCGGAAGAATTCCAAATGGCTTCCCATTTGATTTGAGAATGAATCGGTTGAAGGCGGTGGGTTCGGCCATTATGCACATTGGGTTAAGGCGAGGAGGGGAAATGCCAGGAGATATGTCGATTAGTGCCTCAAGTTCAGCAAGCGATCGGCTCGGAGTGTCCTCTGGAAGAATACCCGATTGGAGGATGGCGGGGTGTGCTAGAAAACAATGGGTGCCGAAAGGGAGACAGACGGCGGTCCTCGCCACCTCCTCTGACGGTGAAACACCAAAGCGGCGCAATGCACGCTGGGTGGCAAGGGCGCGAATTTGAGTGGAGGGGGCAACTGCCCCAAGACCACCGTGACGAATGGAGTTGTAAAGGAGGCGGTTGGGGATGAGGCGGACCCCAAGGCCATGTTCCTTGAATCTCGAAGAGGATAGGAAATTCCCGACTGTGACGTCGAGCCGCTTTATGATGTCAGGGGAGGGGGGTTGAAAGCGACCAGGGAAGGAGAGGATGGAATTAAGGAACACCGATACAAGCGTCTTGCGGCAGGTGGCAGTAGCGCGTAGGGCTGCAAGGAATTTTGCCGTACGCTGGATGCGCGAAAGGGTCGTGGACCAGGTGGTAGCACCTGGTTGTGTTTGTTCGACGTAGATACCAAGAATGCGCTCTGCGTCTTGGGGTGTGCGAATGGGAATGGGGCCAGCCAGGCGGATCTGTGCCGGGTCAGTGAAGAAGGGAATTATTGAGCATTTATTCCAGTTGGGATGCTCGCCAGAGACGGCGGCAAAAACCCGAAGTTGTATAAGTGTGGTCTCAAGCTCCCTGACGGATGAGAGAAAGATAGTGACATCGTCAGCATAACATGCCATGAGTCGGCGTTGCGTCGCAGAGTGGGGGAACCCCGGGAGGAAGAGGGAGAGGTAGCGCTGAAGGATTTCGATGACACAAACAAAAAGGAGGGGGGCGACAAGGCATCCCTGTCGGACCCCCGTGCGAACGGGGAAGGAGGGCCCAGCAAGGTTGTTGACCGAGACACGGGTGGAGGTGTTGGTATGCATGAGGCGGACCCAGGCGATAAACTGCTCGGGAAGTCCCAAAACAGCGAGCGCTCGGAGTAGGAAGGCACAGTCGACCATATCATAGGCTTTGCGGAAGTCGACAGTCAGAGCGAGAAGGGGGGACCGGGTGGTTGTACTCCAGTCAAAGATATCGAGAGTGTCGTTGATCGTATCACCAATTTTCCTGTTTTTGATAAAAGCGGTCTGTGAGGGATGAATAAGCCTTGGGAGAACAAGTTGCATTCGATTAGCAAGGCAGATAGCTAACACCTTATAATCCGAGTTCATGAGGGTGATGGGCCGAAGGTTCTCAACTAGAGAAGAGTTGCCTCTCTTAGGGATTAGGATGGTGCGGCCTGAGAGCATTGACGGCGGGAGGGCTGCCGAGATGGGAGGAGAAGAGAGGAGTGAATGGAAAGCAGGAGCGAAACGGGTCTTGTGATGTCGAAATAACTCCCCCGGAAGGCCATCGGGGCCGGGGGTTTTGCCATGGGAGAGTTGCCCAATGGCTTTGCTAATTTCCAAGAGTGAAAAGGGGGCTTGTAAGCGGTTGAAGAGGTTGGGAGGGAGTGAGGAGGGGGGGATATGTGCCCAAAAGGAGGGGTGTGACATGCCCGGAGTTGCTCCACAATAGAGAAACTGGAAAAATCTAGTGCATTCAGCGGTCATGGCTCGAAGGTCAGAGGTGGTCTGACCGTCTGGTAGCGTAAGTGAGGTGAGTAAAGAGTCTTTAATGCGGGAATTAAGGCCAGCCAGAAGGGAAGAAATCCCCATCTCCCTATGGCCCTCAACTTTGAGCTTTGCCTTGAGAGCGAGTTCAGCGGTTTTAGAGGTTTCGTATTTTGTGAGATGCTGACGGGCTTTGAGGAGTTGAGCGGCTGCATCAGAGTCAAGTGGGGAAAGGGCAGACTGAAGCTGGAGACGACTAATAAGCTGCACAAGATGGTCAGTTGTGCCTATAACGCGTCGCCGCTCTTGGTTCGAGAAACGTTTGAGACTAAGGGTGAAGGAGAGTTTCCAGGAGTCCCATGCCTCAGGGGAAAGGTGTGAGGGCAGTGAGGCGAGGTGAGTATCAATGATGGCAGCGACTTGGGGACGATGTAGGAGGGATGAGCTAAATCGCCATGGGCGCGGCGCCATGGCCGGGTTGTTGAAAATAAGGGAACAAAACGGAGCAAAAGAGTGGTCAGAGACCTTTGTGGATGTGTAGATGTAAGAGGCCTCAGAGACTCGAGGGAGGAATGAGCTGGATAGGTAAATACGATCAAGACTAGAGGCTGGCGGGCTGGATGTAGTGGCACCAGCCAAGCCTGTACGACCGAAGTAAGAAAAGACAGGAGTGGAGGGATGAAGTGAGCGGTATGCGTCAAAAAGTGAATGTGTCGACATGAGGTTGGAGAACATGGTGGCCTCGCTACTTTCATGGCCGAGTAGGGGGCGGTTACGGTCTTCGGGGTAAACCACCGAGTTGAAGTCACCGGCGAGGATTGTAGCAGCGGACGCGGTGGGTTGTTCCAGCGCAGGTGTTACGGCGGATCTCCACCAAACGCGGCGGTCAGTGGCGTGTGTCGGAGCGTAGATAGCGATGAGGCGCAATTGTTCGTGCAGAAAGTTGACGTGTACTGAGAGGAGAAGGCCATCAGGTGAGGGGGACGGGGAGGTAAGCGAAATAGCTCTGTTGAAAGAAAGGATAGAGACACCACCCGGTTTTGGACAGGATTTGCTGTTCTTATCTAGTGCGTATAGGGTGGGTGTATGCGCTGAAGAGTGTGGGCGGAGTTGAAGTGATAGTTTAGGTAGATTGTGAGAGAGGCGTGTATCCACTAAAATGAGGATGTCTGTTCGAAAGCTGAGTTCAGAAAGCCGTTGTTTCAAAGCATTTCTTTTTGATGGAGTATTGATACCGTTGATATTAAGACAGAGAATTCGTAAGGGCGTTAACATGGTGCTAAGTGTGAGCCCACCGCGCGAGAGGGAGCACGGATCCACGGGCCAAGACATTCTCGGAAGGGGGTGAGAGGTGTTTGAGGACTGGAAGCACGACGAAGGTGATAAACAATAATTAAATAGAATATTCTGGCAATGGTTGAGTACCACCCTACGCAAGCATCTAAAAACAAGTAAAACAGCAGGTCAAAGGGAGGCCAACAAGAGGGAAGGACACAGCTCTTAAGGGTTACAACCAAAAGGCTAGAGCCCTGTCTATGCTGCCCATTGCCTTGATTTTGTTCACGAAAACGGCATGACAGGGTATAAGGGCAGGGCAGCAGGGGAGATAGCAGAAGGAGCGAGAGGGGAGTTCCGTCTCTGCCACAGGTCATATACGTTGGAAGCTTTTCCTGAAGTAGAAGGCAGGCACGGCGACATAAGGGCCTGGTAAGGGGCAGGAGAGGGAGGCGGAGAAGTGGTCGGAAAGGGGAGTAACGCGGGGTGGGGCAGAGCAAAAGAGTCACGTGGGCAGGGAAGTCGAGGAGAGAGCAGCTAGGGAAGAATGCCAGCCACGGATTAGGCCATATAGACGGCAAAGGCATAGGAGATAAGGTGCAAACGAGGCGTGGGGGGGTGGGTAAAAGAAGAGGGAGAAGGCATAAAGCAAAGGGAATAGGAAAGGCGAGAGTGAGGCGAGGTTGAAACAGGGGCAATGACAAAGGCGGCTGGGCGAAGGGAGAGCGAGTTATCGTCACCGGAGCACAGCCCGGAAACTGTGCCAAACCAGAAACTTTGGTGTGGCGAAGAGTGAAACCAGGGAGGCAAAGCAGACGTGCAAAGATAGGGGGCAGCGTGGGGCAGGGTAGCGAGAGGCACGCGTAAAAGGGCCTGAGAGGGAGAGTAGTGGAGCATAGACAACTTCCAGCTCGTGATAGAAGTTGAGAATGATAGCCTGGGGGGAGCCCAAGATATCGAAGCGAAGCGGAAGCAATAAAAGAAGGGGACACGAAGACGTTGCCTCGAGGGCCGCGACGTACCACGAGAGGCGTCTGGGAGGCGAAGAGCCAACCCGAGTCGCAAAGGGGAGACTGGGAGGTTAGGAGCCAACCCGAGTCGCGAAGGGGAGACTGGGAGGTTAGGAGCCAGCCCGAGTCGCAAGAGAGAGACTGGGAGGTTAGGTGCCAACCCGAGTCGCAAGGGGAAGACTGGGAGGTTAGGTGCCAACCCGAGTCGCAAGGAGGAGATTGGGAGGTTAGGTGCCAACCCGAGTCCCAGAACAAGGCATGGTAGCAAGCATGTCGAAAGAAGCGGAGAAGAAAAATGCATAAGAACGACGTGGGAGAGCGGGAACAGTGGGGCGATAAAGGCGCGAATCGCGGGCATAAAGGAAGGAGATGGGACGGAACCGAAGTAGTTACAAGCCAAATTTCTGGCAAGGGTGGGGGCTTATCTGTCGGCGTCGGGGTGGAAGACAACGGCTGCAGCCAACGGTGGGGAGAAGTGTCGTTGCGGCGTTGTGATAGCGCGCGGAAGTGACATCGCTGGCTGGGTGAGCGAGCGTCGGCAGGGGCAAGCGTCGCCTGCCAGCTTAACGTGGGGTGCCAGGGGCGGCGAAGGTTAAAGAAGCGAGAAAAGGAAAACGGCGACGGTAAGCGTGCAAGGAAAAATAAGGAGAGCGCGAAAGCTGGAGGCGCGATCCGAGCATGGCACGAACGAGGTATTCGGAAGGCGAGGTGGCGGCCTGAGGGGGCGGCTAAGCAAGGCGCAGTGAAGAGCGGAGGCAAGGGCAGGTAGCGATGCCGGGGGACGTGGGCGATCGTGGGCGATGTTGAGCGGATCGATGGCGCAAGTGACCTGGAGCAGGATGGAACAGGGAAAACGGCGAGGAACAAGAAACAGACCAACAACAGAAAGGGAGAAAAGCAGGAAGCGAACTTACCGTGGGCTGATGCAGTGTCGATGACGGGGAGCCTGCTGAGATCAGCGTTGGCTTGACATGCATAGCTTCGTGATACACGGGAAGAAATCGCTATAGTTCCCGAGCTGTGAGGGAGCCCCTGTGCTGGATCTGGCTTAGAGAGATCTAGATCTGGATCTCGAAAATGTTCCATCGGGTGGTTTGGAGCAAAATCGGTATTCCTCGATCTGCTGTCGTGGAAAAGCATTGAGCTGGGATCTAAACCTAGGATCAGAGGATAAACACGCGCCAAGATGGGCCCGTGATCTCAATAGCAGAGTGAATGTAAATGCTTGAGATGATTAAAACATGCAAATACAGCGAGTATAAATATGAGTACAGGGAAGACGAAACGACCTAGCTAGTCATGTACTCTAAGGGGTACATTCCCTTATTCAAATACATTCAACCGTGCGGCGCGTACAGTTTCGTAACTGTTCCCGCCAAGAACATCCTGCCTGCAGCTGTCCGATGCCGTCTGCCTCCGACGGTCCAGATGCGTCCCAACTGTCTGACACTTCGAGTCAAACTCCAACTGTCTGACGGTTCGCTTTCTTGCTTCGATACTGCGTACTTCTCTTTGCTGCGGTGAGGAGTGCTCAGTAACAATTACATGTTACTATTCGTAACAGTTTATTGCAGTGTTGTAGACAGTTCTCGGTACTGAAGGTCGCTACGTGTCAGTTGCTGGGAACGAGTGCTGGTCCGCATTTTGTTGAAACATTCGTGCAACCGTTGAAGGGATCGCACCTTCATTCCTGGTCGTCTGAGATTGAGGACGTGTCTCGAACGAGTAAGCCCATGCGGACCCGACGGACCAGCTCGAGAACCGGCGTGTGAACCAGCAACGGACTGGACCAGGGTTATGGCTTCATTCCCGTTGTAGTGTTCGAATGGCACTACAACGGTGCCTTCGATTTGGTCGCCAAACCAGTCCGCCTCTGGTCCGTAAATAGTAGTTTCACGAACAGTCTTTGCGAATTCTCTAACTCGTGATTTTCGCACAAGATTATCAGGGAAGCTTCAACGGGCACATAATAGGATAACTCAATTTCGGCAAATAATTGTTTCGTCGCCTTTGCTGCAATTCGCAGGGACTGTAGCAACACATCAAGCAGACCAGTCCGCTTCTGGTCCACGGCTGGTCTGCCAGAAGGGTCCGTCGGACCAGACTTCGGACAAAGCATGCACATTAACGGACTGGGACCAGCGGACCAATCACATTGAGACGCCCTCTGAGAAACCGGTAAGTATGCCGTTCAAGGCACTTCTTTCACGGGCTCACGGATTCGCTCCTTTTTCTGGCTTGTTCAGTTGAAGGCTGCCTTGGGAGAGCTGTGATGTCTGGAATTCTGACGACTCTGGAAAAATGGACAGAGCAACGAACCGACATGGGTAGGTCGGTCAGTCTTGTCAACAACTAAGGGCGGGGGCAGCGCGTTCATTTTCCTGGCTTAGCCCGAAACAGTTACCAGATTCAGCGGTTTGTAACCCTGATTTAGGGTAACGTGTGGACACGACGGAGTATACAGTGGATGAACGGTGGCTGTTTTCCGTGCCGTCAACCGAACAAAACACGTACCCACAACGTCCGCGAACAACCCGTGCAACATTTGAGAAAGCCTTTGTGCAGGTCAGCGAAACCGCACCACGACTTCGTCAAGCGCGTACGACCCTCGCAAATCCAAGGGTTCACAAATGCAGATTCGTACCTTCAATTCGGTCGTACGGGGCTACCTCATTGGGTGGGCGGTTTGGCAAAAGTGTGGCGGGTCCTGTGCCTAATTTTGGACGCGCGTGTCCCACCTGGGACACAAACTAAGCGCGGTACAAAAAAGCTACAGTAACCTCCAGATTCGACGGGTGTCAAAATTTTGGACGCGCTGCCCCCGCCCTAACCTTCCATGCTCAATGGGATTGTCTTCGACGAAATTCCCTCGCCGCCAAACGACGAGTCCGCAGCACAGATCTTTGCGACGGTCCGACTGACTGTGGGTCGCACAAAGCCACACGCGAACGTGTACGATTGGGCTTGAGCAACGAGGAGAGGGCGACAGACCTACGATGGTCTGCTGCGAGTTTCAGAGTAGACCTGGTCAACTCTCCTCAGGTCATCCGAGGCGCGATGAGCACGGCATTCAACGCTTGGACTTCACGCACTCGATCTCAGCCGTCAATAGTCGAGATGCGATTCGTCTAACAAGCATTGCAGCAATTGAAATACACCATCACTTCGAATTCCCTCTCGGTGAATCGTTTCTGATTGCTCTTCTCTGGCAAACCTGCACGAGCCTGTCATCAAATAATCCTTCACCCGTGGAATTTCCTGAAATCATTGTCAAATTTGAACATCAGAAGCTCAACATCTAATTCCCTTCAGCAGTTTGCACCGATCTGACAGTAACGCCGCTAATCCATCAGTCGAACCATAGGAACAGGCCCCCCATCGGATACTGCCATGGCGAGAAAGTGCACTCTCCTTACGGTGCTGCTCCTGCCACTCGTCACGCTTCTCCTCCTCAACACTCTCCCCGCAGCCACAGCTCTCCCAGCTTCCCGCGTCCGCCGATCGCTCCTAGGCCGCCTGCTGAAGCCTCTGCGTCACAGCTTCGACACTCTCAAAGCCGAGCTGGGTTTCGAAACCGGCCGTAGGGACGAAACCGCTGCCACGTGGAGGGACATGTATCAGCGGCAGCTGATCTCGAGGATCGAGCCGTCCAATGACAAGAAACTATTGGACGCTTTTGGAAATTCGAAACAGCTAATTCCCGAAATCGAGCCGTCCAATGACGAGCTCCTCGTTCCGATGGATCACGGCGTCGCGGCGCAACCTTCGCCAGAATCTGCGGCGAAAAATTCGCGGATGACAGAATCGACCTCAACTGAGTCAACTGAGTCAACCAAATTCGGCACTAACACGGCGGATGCACGCGAATCAGGAGGAGCTGGCGCGTCTCAGAAATTCGCAGCTGCAAAGAAATCCGATTCGAAATCGGCGCCGCAAAAGCGTTTTGCTACTACTACCCGTAGCACCATTCCGCGCAGATCCGTGCTCTCGGGTAGCAGCGCGTCCGCTCCCACGTCGGCGCCTCCCCCCACATCATCGTCCGGCGGGCGCCGCGGCCTGTTCAGCCGCGAACTGCGCGGCAGGGGTTCTCCGCGACGCTCTACGCTCGATGCGCAGAATACTAGCTCTAAGAAAATGGCCTCCGCTCCCGCATCTGAGCCGTCCGTTCCCGGCCGCCGGTCCATGCTCCAATTTCCCAAAACTCAGGGCGATGCGCCTCGCGGCCATGCTCCCGCCAGCGCGCCTTGCCCTGGAGGTCCCCCGAATGAGTCCCAGAGCGGCGGGGGAGGTTCCGCACCGTTCCCCCTCGCGTGCCCGAACCCTGAACCCGCCGCGATGTGCGATTTTGTGTTCGACGGATCGATGGACGAGATTCCAACCGTCACTCTCCCTGCTTTGGTGACCGATGCACCACTCGATATAACTCCATCCGATATTGTGACAGTTGTTGGCGGTACATACTTGGAGGAGGCTACAGCCAATACATCTGCGCTGGTTTGCTCTGCAGAAGCTGCGAAAACTAATCTCGCTGACGTTCCTCTGCAGTTTCCAGATGGCGTGTTCGAGATGCGCGCTCTAAACGCGCTCGTGTACAACGGGCAGTTGATGAAAGGGTTTCTCGACGGCGGGAACGACTGGGCGAACGCGTTCCGCGCCGACGCTGAGGGGAAAGACGGCGCGCTTGTACGCGTTCAGATCGAATCGGCTCTCCTGAACGCCTACGGTACGGAGACTAAGGTCGGTAAGGGTGCAAATAATGGCCCATCCGGCTCAAATCTCGGCAGCGGTTCCGGCATGAGTGGTAATGGCGAGGGTGATTCCACGGGTGTTCAATACTTCCCTTATGAGAGGCTCTGCGTTGTGTTTCGGGTAAAGGTTGCTTGAAGTTGCTGTGGTGGTATACTTCCGGTATACAGTCTCAACTACACTGCAATGTACATCTTGCTAAACTTATGAGCAGCATCTAAGATACCCTTTTTACGAAAAGGAACACGACTTTGCCCTGAACAATCTGGAGACTCCATAAAATAACGAAAAGGGCTACTAAACTCGCCATAATACACTTCATCTGATTGAGGACCTAAAAACGCCTGGATTAAAACCCAGGAGGAAGCCCAAGGGGAAGCGGAGAGGGGGGGAGAGGAGTAAACATCTCTATCATAGATCTGCGGCGGAATTCATTCATTCATCCACGTGTTGAAAGAAGGAACTGCTGCACAATAAACCTGAATGGTTATCAGAACTCATAAGGCTCCACCTGCTGAGTTCTCTTCCACCCATCTCTCCCCGATATCCTCGCCCACCATCTGCTCACGTTCGGGCGGCTCTCAATCAAATCAAACCCCCCTGCGGCCGGTAACAGCTCCGTGAAGGGCAGGTGGGTCAAATCCGCAAGAGTGAAAGAGTTTCCGACCAGATATTCCCTCCCTTCCAGATGCTTCTCGTATACGTCCAACACATTTGATAGCTGTGTGCATGAGGGAAGACGAATAGAAAGTGGGAAGGGAGGGGTTGAGGCAGGTTTCTGCAAATGCGGCTTTAATACCCTCTCATACACCAGAACCATCATCGGTGGAGGAGAGAAATGCCCAAACGCCCTTCTCTTTTCCACCCTTCCTCTCACCTTTTCCCTTGCCTCCTTCCATCTCTCCTCGTCGCATGGGCACTTGTGCAAATGGGGCTTGAACACCCTCTCCTAGAGCAGAATCATCACACGCCCTTTCAACCCTTACCCTTGATTTACTCACTCCTTCATCTCCCGTCTTCTCACCTTCTCCCTCGCCTCCTTCCATCTCTCCTCGTCGCAGGGCCGCTTGTGCAAGTGGGGCTTGAACACTCTTTCATACACCAGAATCATCACTGGTGGGGAGAACGTATGCCCCTCAACATCTATCCACTGGTTCACCAGAGCTCGCTCCTGAGACATGACACAAACGGGGACATAGTGTATATATGAGGTTTGAACACGCTCTCCTCTCGTGCACCAGAATCATCACCGCTGGGGAGAACGTATGACCCTCAACGTCTATGCGCTGGTTCACCAGAGCTCGCTTTTTTGAGGCAGTGCAAAGGGGTCGTCGCATGGGGAGTGACACATGGGGCTTGTACGGAACACCCTCTATCACATTCACCAGGATCATCGCGAGTGGGGAGGTGAGGTGGATCGCCCCTCGACGTCTGTCCACTAATTCACCCGACCTCGGTCCTGAGAGAGAATGCAAAGGGGAGGAGATGGAGGGGAAGGAGATGGAAGGGGAGAGAAGGTGTGTCCCTCAACGTCTATCCAATGGTTCACCTGTGCTCGCTCCTGAGACATGAGACATAAGGGACATGGTGCACACATAGGCTCTGCTTTGAACACCCTCTCACTCATACACCAGAATCATAACCGTTGGGGAAAACGTATGTCCCTCAACGTCTATCCACTGGGTCACTAGCGCTCGCTCCTGCGAGAGAATGCAACGGGGAGGAGATGGAAGGGAAAGAGATGGAAGGAGAGAGAGAGTATGCCCCTCAACGTCTATCCACTGGTTCACCAGTGCTCGCTCCTGAGAGACGACAGAAATGACATGAGATGCAATAAGGGTGGCATGGTGCATGAATGCACGAGGTTTGAACACCCTCTACGATCGTACACCAGAGCCGTCACGTCTCTGCATAGACGGTGGGAGAACGTATGCCCCTCAACGTCTATCCACTGGTTCACTGGAGCTCGTTCCTGAGACATGACACATAAGGGACATGGTGCAAACATAGGGCCTGCATTGAACACCCTTTCATACACCAGAACCATCACCGGTGTGTGCCCCTCAACGTCTATCCACTGGTTCACTAGAGCTCGTTCCTGAGACATGACACATAAGGGACATGGTGCAAACATAGGGCCTGCATTGAACACCCTTTCATACACCAGAACCATCACCGGTGTGTGCCCCTCAACGTCTATCCACTGGTTCACTAGAGCTCGTTCCTGAGACATGACACATAAGGGACATGGTGCAAACATAGGGCCTGCATTGAACACCCTTTCATACACCAGAACCATCACCGGTGTGTGCCCCTCAACGTCTATCCACTGGTTCACTGGAGCTCGTTCCTGAGACATGACACATAAGGGACATGGTGCAAACATAGGGCCTGCATTGAACACCCTTTCATACACCAGAACCATCACCGGTGTGTGCCCCTCAACGTCTATCCACTGGTTCACTAGAGCTCGTTCCTGAGACATGACACATAAGGGACATGGTGCAAACATAGGGCCTGCATTGAACACCCTTTCATACACCAGAACCATCACCGGTGTGTGCCCCTCAACGTCTATCCACTGGTTCACTAGAGCTCGTTCCTGAGACATGACACATAAGGGACATGGTGCAAACATAGGGCCTGCATTGAACACCCTTTCATACACCAGAACCATCACCGGTGTGTGCCCCTCAACGTCTATCCACTGGTTCACTAGAGCTCGTTCCTGAGACATGACACATAAGGGACATGGTGCAAACATAGGGCCTGCATTGAACACCCTTTCATACACCAGAACCATCACCGGTGTGTGCCCCTCAACGTCTATCCACTGGTTCACTAGAGCTCGTTCCTGAGACATGACACATAAGGGACATGGTGCAAACATAGGGCCTGCATTGAACACCCTTTCATACACCAGAACCATCACCGGTGTGTGCCCCTCAACGTCTATCCACTGGTTCACTAGAGCTCGTTCCTGAGACATGACACATAAGGGACATGGTGCAAACATAGGGCCTGCATTGAACACCCTTTCATACACCAGAACCATCACCGGTGTGTGCCCCTCAACGTCTATCCACTGGTTCACTAGAGCTCGTTCCTGAGACATGACACATAAGGGACATGGTGCAAACATAGGGCCTGCATTGAACACCCTTTCATACACCAGAACCATCACCGGTGTGTGCCCCTCAACGTCTATCCACTGGTTCACTAGAGCTCGTTCCTGAGACATGACACATAAGGGACATGGTGCAAACATAGGGCCTGCATTGAACACCCTTTCATACACCAGAACCATCACCGGTGTGTGCCCCTCAACGTCTATCCACTGGTTCACTGGAGCTCGTTCCTGAGACATGACACATAAGGGACATGGTGCAAACATAGGGCCTGCATTGAACACCCTTTCATACACCAGAACCATCACCGGTGTGTGCCCCTCAACGTCTATCCACTGGTTCACTAGAGCTCGTTCCTGAGACATGACACATAAGGGACATGGTGCAAACATAGGGCCTGCATTGAACACCCTTTCATACACCAGAACCATCACCGGTGTGTGCCCCTCAACGTCTATCCACTGGTTCACTAGAGCTCGTTCCTGAGACATGACACATAAGGGACATGGTGCAAACATAGGGCCTTCATTGAACACCCTTTCATACACCAGAACCATCACCGGTGTGTGCCCCTCAACGTCTATCCACTGGTTCACTGGAGCTCGTTCCTGAGACATGACACATAAGGGACATGGTGCAAACATAGGGCCTGCATTGAACACCCTTTCATACACCAGAACCATCACCGGTGTGTGCCCCTCAACGTCTATCCACTGGTTCACTAGAGCTCGTTCCTGAGACATGACACATAAGGGACATGGTGCAAACATAGGGCCTGCATTGAACACCCTTTCATACACCAGAACCATCACTGGTGTGTGCCCCTCAACGTCTATCCACTGGTTCACTAGAGCTCGTTCCTGAGACATGACACATAAGGGACATGGTGCAAACATAGGGCCTGCATTGAACACCCTTTCATACACCAGAACCATCACCGGTGTGTGCCCCTCAACGTCTATCCACTGGTTCACTAGAGCTCGTTTCTGAGAGTCAGTCAAGGGGAGGAGACAGAAGGTGAAGGAGAAGGGAATAGGAGGAGGAGGAGAAGTGAATTTATAATAGTGAAATGTAAGCACACTCTTTCACAACTGAAATTATGATAGGGCATCACAGGGAAGGAGAAGGTATGCCAACAGAAGTCTATTCATTGGCTTAACGTAGCTCGTTTGTGAGATCACTGCATTGGATCGTTCGTTCATTGGCACAAAGGGGTTTGGATCGACTAGACTAGAAGATCACTGCAAACAGGAGAGGAGAACGCATGAAGAAAAACTTCCCCCTGTGGTGGTTTTGGTACAGCCAGGGGGCTTGAAAATTCTCGTCTGCACCCAAACCATCACATTGAAAACATTTCGAGGCGCCTCAAAACTGAGAGGATTTTTTAGGCCGCTCAAAGGTCGTGATTGTTCTAGCCAGGAGGCTTAATCATTCTCGTCTACAAGCAAACCATCGCAGCAGAAACATTCCCTCGTGCTCCTGACTTACCTGCACATGTACCTCCCAACAAACCCAACCCAACCCAACCCAACCCAACCCAACCCAACCCAACCCAACCCAACCCAACCCAACCCAACCCAACCCAACCCAACCCAACCCAACCCAACCCAACCCAACCCAACCCAACCCAACCCAACCCAACCCAACCCAACCCAACCCAACCCAACCCAGCCCAGCCCAGCCCAACCCAACCCAACACAATCCAACCCAACCCAACCCAGCCCAGCCCAACCCAACCCAACCCAACCCAACCCAACCCAACCCAACCCAACCCACCATGAGTGTTTCCCCGAGGAGGTTTGGGCCACGGTCCTTATATTTGTCCGCTATGAATCGCATGAGTGTGCGGGACTCTGCAAGGGGAACGGGGGCAACGGTGGAAAGAGAGGGAATCATTTGAGGGAATTTGCTGGTTCGGGGAAACTGCTCCTTGTGCTGATCGAGGTAATCTGCTCCTTGTGCATATAAAAGATGGGGAAGGTGGTCTGACTGAGGACGCTGACACTGATCAAACAGGGGAAGCGGGTCGGTCTGAGAGACGCTGCCCCCCGGTCCTGGTGCTTGCTCGCAAAGTATCTCATCAGCGATGTTGCTGTCACTTTTGAGAGTTCTAAAAAATGTCCGCAAAGTATCTCATCAGCGTGCGGGGGTCTGGAAGGGGGATGGGAACATGCGGGGTCAATCGGGCATCTTGAATCTTATATGATTCACCATGATGGCGTTCCGGTTGCATAGAGCACAGGGAATTGCAGAAAGCAAAGAGACTATGAGGCACACATGGTTGACGCTGCGCCGATGTACGTGTGAGGGATGGCCCCTTGACCGTGCACCACTGACCGTGCACCACTCACCGTGCACCACTCACCGTGCACCACTCACCGTGCACCACTGATCAATACTGACCTGCGTTGGTAGTTGCATCACCTACCGTAAATGACGTGCCCGTCGTCTTCCAGCACTGGGATTCGCGCAAAGGGCTGAGGATGCATGGCGGATTGGGAAGGGACAAATAGGAAATGAAGGGGAGAGGGAGAAGAGAGGGGGTGTGAGGAGAGACGAGGAAGAGGAGAGGAAGAAGAGAGGGTGATGAGAGGGAGACGAGAGGAGAGGAAGGGGAGAGGAGAGGAGAGGGAGAGGAAAGGTAAAAGGGATGCGATTGAACAGTTGGCTTGTTCACACGCACACGCGCAAGTGCACGCGCACATAAATACACACTCAAATTGAATACGGAATCGGAGAGAAAGTTACCTGTATCTTGAGGAATTCGGGTGTTTTGGTGCCACCTGTGAGTGGGCTGACCGGAATGTGCACGAAATCCTGAAAAAAAGAGGTTTCCAGATGCATGCACGATTAAATGAAACGCACGAAAATCTGAATAACGAAGTTCCGGCATGCATGGATGGATCGGAATGCAAGCGGAAGCCACGTGATAAAACTGATGCTTTGAGACGTCTCAAAGCATGGGCGGTTGAACGAAATGCACGAAAACCTGATCAACTAAGTTCCGGCATGCATGGATGGATCGGAACGCAAGCGAAAGCGCATTTCTAAGTGATCGTCAACCTCACTGCAGCTGACAATGCCCGTTTTCAGTGCATACTAACACCCCTCGACGCACTTCCCCTCGTCCCATGATGCATTTTCCGCCTCAATGCATTTACCCTCCTTTTGTACACCTGTGAAAGCGCGAGCGCGTTTCCTGCCCCGATGCAGCTGAGAATGCCTGTTTCCAGTGCAGCATTTCCCAATCCACCTCGCGTTACGAAATGCAGCACACTATGACTCCTCTACGCACTTTCCCCTCGTCCCATGACGCATAATCGTACACCTGTGAAAGCGCGTTTTCTTCCTCAATGCAGCTGAGAATGCCTGTTTCCAGTGCAGCATTCTATCACTTTTGAGGAACCCCAGAAGTCTTCTAGTGCATGTTGTCACTTTACCACCCCGCAACGCACTCATCACGTCGCAACACACTCATCACGTCGCAACACACTCATCACGTCGCAACACACTCATCACGTCGCAACGCACTCATCACGTCGCAACGCACTCATCACGTCGCAACACACTCATCACGTCGCAACACACTCATCACGTCGCAACACGTGACCGTAACCCAAGAATCTCCACGCACATCTCGTAACGCGAGGTGACAGCTGACTTTTGAGGCGACTCAAAAGTCACCACGTCGCAACGAGTGACGGTAATCCTATACTCTCCACGCGCATCTCGTACAGCGTCGTGATCAAACGCATTTCTACTAAGCTGGGACCGTTACCCTCGCTTTTGAGAATTTCCAAAAGCGGTTCGAAGCGTACTGAAATGCATTTCTACCAGGCTGGGACGGTTACCCCCGTTCAACCACACGCATCCATTCCCGATTAGCAATCATCTTGCAATGTGTCACGATTACTTGGGCACACAATAGTAACTCTATGTATAAAATCACGCGTTTCTTAATCTTCGTACCTCCACTCCCATCTCATAAAGCGTCATGATCACGCGTCGCGTGTACGGCGAAATCGCCGTGCCGTGAAGCACCAGCTTCGGCATCTCGACGGTCCGATTTCACGTCGGCTGGCTAGACGGATAAACAACGCAACCGTGCGATTTGTCGGCAGGGCGGTCAGACTGACGATCAAAATAGCCTCCCAAGTCAGGAGGACTCAGACGACTGAAGGAATCAGTAGTGAGCTGGTCACTCGCTAACGTGAAGGAGGACAGCACACTCTCCGATGTACCCTTTAGAGATGTCCTCGAAATACTTAGTGCGCGTTGAGATGCAGAAAGTTGAAGACAGACTAGAGATGTTACCCTAATCTAGACATGTAAAACAGTGTAGCCTACTGCGATTGTACATCATAAATTTCTATGTAGTAACTTTAGCACTTTATTCCAAAGGAAATTAAAATTGGAACGAAGTGCCAACGAGGAAATATCATTCCTTAATCAACTGGTTCCCTTACAGGTCCAGAAGCAATGTTTCTCCCAGTTCCACCCTCTGCCAACCGGCTGCTGCCAATGGTTGCCACAGGGGCAAGGGAGGCAATGCTGTGGCAATCCCTTTGTACTCCATATAGACTTCCTCGTGCCACGAGGCTGGCCAGCTCCGCATGCCCTGTTCTACGGTGGCCGCATATGGGTTACGATTATTGTTGTTATGGACAGTGTTGCTGTTGCTGTCGTTACTGTTGTTATTGCTTCTGTTATTGTTGTGCGGGCTGTACAGAAGAAGTGAAACTGAGGCTTTCCACGTCAGCAGTGCCTTCATCCTCTTTAGAAGCTGCTCCTTTGCAGGGCTGTGGCTTCTACTTTCTGCATGCGTGTCAAAGGGAGGGGTGCAAGAAAAATGACGATATTTTTCCAAGTGTGGAAGAGAATTTCCGTTCGTACTGCTTAATTCAAGTGTGCATATGTTACATCTCACAATACCGAACTGCACCCCATTCACATGCCACAAATCCACCACCCACTTTGCAGCCGATCAATGAGCCTCAACTGCCTCCTCAACAACAGTTGTCCCCTCACCCGCTTCCATCGCACAATACCGAACTGCACCCCATTCACACTCCACACATTCACCACCCACCTTGCAGTCGATCAATGAGCCTCAACTGCCTCTTCACATGCCCAATACCGAACTGCACCGCTTTCCACCGCTCCCTCCTCTCCCACCACACCTGCAGCACCAATTTCCTCGCCCTTGCTTCCCTCGCTGCTGCTTCATTTCTCGCTGCACCTTCCCCTCGCCCTCTGTCATCTCCCTCCCTTCCCCCTGCTGCTCCGCCCCTGATTCCTCTCCCACTTCCCTGCTCTCCTCTCTCCCCAGCAAAGGCTGAGAGCCACACAGCCTTCATGCTCCCTGCCAGCCCCCACCATGCGCTTACTGCACTGCTGCTGTTAGCACCAAGCGCGTCCACATGCACTGCTAGCGTGCTCATGAGGAGGGAAGGGCCGCATGTGCCTGTATGGGGGTGGAGGGAGAAACACTATAGTGAGCGATTGTGAGTGTAACGGGTGCTCCCTTCCTACTAGGCAAGCAGGGTCTCTCTGCTGCTGCAGGTGGTAGCAAGCGCGTCCACATGCACTGCTAGCGTGCTCATTAGGAGGGAAGGGCCGCACGTGCCTGTATACAGGGAAGGGGGGTGAATGAACGAATGTGAGCGTAACAGGCAAGGACTCTTTGCTGGCACCAAGGGCGTCCAGATGCACAGATAGAGCGCTCATTAGGAGAGATGGGCTGCATGTGCCTGTACGGAGGGGACGGGGGGAAGATGGTCGGGGCCTTGATTGGATGGAAATGCGTATCTTGGGGAGACCTCAATTGGTGCCCTGCTGTTGCTGCTGGGAGCAAGAGCGTTCAGATTCTGCAGCGTTCAATGCGTATTCTGCTGGCAGAGTGCTCATTAGGAAGGAAGAGCTGCATGCGCCTGCACACAGGGGAGGGCGACAGTGGGTGAGTGAACGAATGTGAGCGTAACAGGGAAGGACTCTCTGCTGCTGGGAACAAGCGCATCCACATGCACTGCTAGCATGCCCATGAGGAGGGAAGGGCCGCATGTGCCTGTATATCTGGTTCTCATCAGATATATCTGGTAATTTCAGTGATCATATCTGGTTCTCATCAGATAGATCTGGTAATTTCAGTGATCATATCTGGTTCTGATCAGATAGATCTGGTAATTTCAGTGATCAGATCTGGTTCTGATCAGATAGATCTGGTAATTTCAGTGATCATATCTGGTTCTGATCAGATAGATCTGGTAATTTCAGTGATCATATCTGGTTCTCATCAGATAGATCTGGTAATTTCAGTGATCATATTTGCTTCTCATCAGATAGATCTGGTAATTTCAGTGATCATATCTGGTTCTCATCAGATAGATCTGGTAATTTCAGTGATCATATCTGCTTCTCATCAGATAGATCTGGTAATTTCAGTGATCATATCTGCTTCTCATCAGATAGATCTGGTAATTTCAGTGATCATATATGGTTCTCACCTCACCTGCTGGCCCCAGAAACAGTAAACCTTTAAAGGATTGGGAAGAGGAGGGAAGATTTTGCAACAACACAACCTCTCTCTCTCTCTCTCTCTCTCTCTCTCTCTCTCTCTCTCTCTCTCTCTCTCTCTCTCTCTCTCTCTCTCACACACTCACTACCAGTCGGCCCCTCTCACTCCCTCTCTCTCACCTGCTAGCCCCAATGACAGCACGCCTTGCATGGCACAGACACACGAGGGCATCAGCCGAAGGACCTCCAGATGACATTGCAGGAGAGTGAGGGAGTGAGTGAGGGAGTGAGTGAGGGAGAGCGAGAGGAGGAGGATTGGGGTAGCGGGGAGTCCTGTCGTTGCACGCACTGGAGCAGCAAGGCACGGATTCTGAGGGAGGGAGGGAGGGAGGGAGGGAGGGAGGGAGGGAGGGATGAAGGGAGATACGGCAAGAAATGGGAGACACACATCGGGGGAGGAAGACACACGAGTGCAAGAGGGGGTCCTGCAGTTGGACGCACTGGAGCAGCAAGGCACGGATTCTGAAAGGAGGGAGGGAGGGAGGGAGGGAGGGAGGGAGGGAGGGAGGGAGGGAGGGAGGGAGGGGAGGGAGGGAGGGAGGGAGGGAGGGAGGGAGGGAGGGGGAGGGAGGGAGGGAGGGGAGGAGGGAGGGATAAGCACATGGGAAGGAAAGCAGGAAGGCAGAGGGAAAGGAAAGAGGCATATGGGAAGAAAACAACATGACGGTGGGAGAGGACGACTTTTGAGACGTCTCAAAAGTCAACATGACGGACGGTGGGAGAGGACGCAGGAACAAGTGTGAGAAATACAATAAGTGTTTTTTTTTCTTTCTTTTGTTTCCAAAAGCAAAATAAAAGAGGTTAACTAGGTTTCTCAAGATACGAACTTAGCCATAAGTTATCATAAGTCCCACACTAAACCATGCAGTGAGTAGTACCTGAATGGATGAATGGAGCGTGCTACAGCAGGCAGGCACGAGCGGTGCAGAATGTCAAGGGCCACTCTCACTCCTCTGGAACCCTGAGCGGCAAGAATCTGCAAAAAGGGTATAGGAGGGGAGAATGATGAGGGTGGAGAGATGAGTGAGACAGCAGGTAGGCAGGAGAGGAGAAGGATGTGAAGAGCTTCTCTCACTCCTCTGGATCCTTGAGCTGCAAGAATATATGTGAATGGAGTTGAAGTAGAGAGAGAGGAGAGCGGAGTGAGGAGTGAGGCAGCAGGCACGAGCAGTAAAGGATGTCAAGAACCACTCTCACTCCCCTGGAGCCCTGAGTCACGACAATCTGTGTGGAGGGAGGGAAGAGACAGAGAGGGTAGCGGATAGAGAGAAGAGACATCAGGCAGGCACGAGCGGTGCAGAATGTCCAGAGTCAATCTCACTGACGAGAGTCGAGGGAGCGACGGGAAAGAAGGCAGAGAAGGGAGAGGGGTGCCAAGCCAAGGCACATGGCGAGTGAGAGGTGGCGAAGCAGGGAATGGGGGAGAGCTTACCTGCACTAGTGGCACCAAGGCTGGGATGCAGAGAGGGTCGGCTTGCAGTGTGCGCAGGAGGAAGGAGGCTGCCTCTCGAGAGAGCTCGAGGGAGCGACGGGAGAGAGGAGGCAGGCGGAATGGGGTGGAGGAGGAGGGAGGAGGAGGCAGGATGAGCGGGCAGATGAGCGGATCGAGATCTGCTTTGGGTGACGGAAATGGAGGGGAGGGGGGGGAGGGGGGAGAGGGAAAAAGAGGAAAGGAATTATAGGGTGAGGGTAGGTACTAGGGGAAGGAAAGGGATGTATAGGGTCAGAACTGCATGCTAGCCGACCTTGTCTTCCATTGCTCAATCTGCCTGTACCAACACCCCGCATTATACAAAGGACCATTGAAAGGAGAAGAAGAAGAAGGACACAAAGAGAGTCCAGTGTGAGAATGAAAAAAAACACACTCCAGCACGCACCATACTTCCTTCCCCTTCCTCTCAACATATCTCGGAGACCTCCCTTCCTCCCCCTACCCCTCTTCCTGCTCCAGCCCTGGCTTGCATGGGGTAAAAATATTCTTGTATCCGTAAACCCCGAAAATTCACAAGTGAAACTCACCATACTTCCATGGGACGAAATACTTTGGAGGTTTGCATCCTTCTCCCCCTCCTGCTGCTTCTCTCCTCCCTGCCCCACCTCCCATCCAACCGCTCTCCCCACTCCCCTCCATTGCCTCCCTCACTCCACCAATTCTCCCTCCCCCTCCTCCCTTCTTCCACACTCTCCAAGCAAACGTCTCTTCCACCACCCTCCTTCCTCCTCTCCCCTCTCCTCCCCAATCCTCCTCCTCTTCTCCCTCCCCTTCCTCCTCCTCCTCCTCGTTCCCATCCTCCTCATCCTCCCCATCCCCCCTGCCTCGCTCTCTCCCCCCGGCCATCACCTTCACCCCCTCCCCAAAACGCCTTACAAAGGCTCGCAGCTAGAACCCCACTGCTTGCCTCCTCTCTGCTGGCTTCCCATGCTTCCTCCAAAGTACAATCTAGCACGAAGGCAGGGTTGAGGGAGGAAGATCCTGGAAGCTTCCCGGAACCAGCCGCGTATGGCTCACCTTCAGACGCCTTTTCAACGAAAGAAGAGCTGGTAACATTGTAACCACCACCACCACCGTGGCCCTCATCATAACCACCAAAATGAATCAACTCACGCTCAATCCACCCGTCTTCATCCTCCTCCTCCTCCTCCTCCTCCTCCTCCTCCTCCTCCTCCTCCTCCTCCTCCTCCTCCTCCTCCTCCTCCTCCTCCTCCTCCTCCTCCTCCTCCTCCTCCTCCTCCTCCTCCATCTCTTCTCCTTCCCCCTCCTCCTCTCCCTTTTTTCCACTCAAGTACCGTTGCCTCTTGCACCCTCCCCTACTAAACCTGCTCCCCACTGACTCCCCACCCTGTTGCACCTCCCTCCTCCTCTTCCTCCTCTCCCATTGGCCCAAAAGCGCCAGCTCAGGAACCTCCACATCAGCGCCACAATCACCATTGTCATCACAATCAGCGTCAACCATATCCACATCCATATCCCCATGCATCCCTCCATCCATCCGCCCATGATCGTCCATCACCCCATCATCCATCTCCCCACCATCCATGTCGGAATTGAAGCCTTGGTGGGCATGGGCGGCGGAGGGCAGCAGCAGAAGGTCCTTCTGGGCGGCAGAGAGCCAGTGGGAGTGCTGAATGAGTGCGCAGAAGAGCAGAGGAGAGGGGTCGGAGCGGTAGGGAGGGAGATTGACGACACTGCACGAACATAGGGGGGTTGTAGGGATAAAAGAAAGAGGAGTGGTCCTTCTGGGCGGCGGAGAGCCAGTGGGAGTGCTGAATGAGCGCGCAGAAGAGGAGTGGAGAGGGGTCGGCACGGTAGGGAGGGAGGTTCACCACCCTGCACACAAAAGGAGGGAGTGGGGGGGATACGGGGGTTCTTTGAATGGCAAACACCGTGGGAGTGCAGGATGAGCGCGCAGAAGAGGAGTGGGGAGGGGTTGGAGCGGTAGGGAGGGAGATTGACGACACTGCACAAGACACAGAGAGGGATGGTGCAAAAGACTAGGGGAATGGAACGGAGAGAGGTGCTTTCTGAGAGAGTGAGGAGGCAGTGGGAGTGCTGGATGGGGGCGCAGAAGAGGAGAGAAGAGGGGCCGGCAGGATAGGGTGGAAGGGAGGTTAACCGCGCTCCGCATATAGGGGATGGGAGGGCAGGCGGGTGACTGGATAGAGGGGTTTGGGAATAAAAAGAAGGGAGGTACAGATGGCGGGGAGAGGTAGTGGTAAGGTGAGGGAGGATGGGAGCAAGGGGAGAATTGATCCGATGACAAGAGACAGAGGAAAGAGAGGAAAGAGGAAGTGAGCGACGGGAAGGCACGGGGCAGGAGGAGCAGTGGAAGGGAGGGGTGGGTGGGGAAGGGAAGGGATGGGTGGGGAAGGGAAGGGAAGGGAGTGCTGGCTGGATGAGTGAAGGGATGGAAGAAGGAAAGAAAGAGAGAACTCACGTTTGCAGCGTTTGGAAGGCAGCGTCGAACTCGTTGGTTTCCATTTGGCACTTGGCGAGATCCAAAAGCATTTGCCCCTTGCGCCTCTGATAGAGGGAAACAGGGAGGGTTGTGGAGTGGTTGAGGGAGGTTGAGCGAGGTTGCGGGGAAAGGCAGCGTCGAGCTCACTGGGCTCCATCTGACACGTAGGGGAGATCTAGCAGCATCTGCCCCTTGCGCCTCTGAAATGTGGGGGGAAGGATATGGCACATGGTTGGGAGGGAGGTTGAGAGAGGTTGAGAGAGGTTGAGGGGATGGAAGAAACGCGTTGGTCTCCTTGTGACACTTGGCCAGGCAGGTCCAGCAGCATCTCCCCCTTGCGAATGTGAGGGAGGTTGAGAGGAAAGCGGAGGCGTTGGCATAGCACGTGGTATGGAGGAGGTTGAGGAAGGAGAATTGAGGGAGGTTGGGAGAGCGGTACCTACCTGGTGAAAAAAGAGTTGTTTTGAGACGTCTCAGAGCGGTACCTACCTGGACCTCACATCAAAACCCAGCATTCCCCCATTCAAACTGCAATCCGCTCCTCAAAAACTACACGCATCATCTCTCTCACACCACCCACACGCACCAGGTAGGCAGACTCCCTCCCCGTCACCACTCACGTCATCCTCTTGCTTCAGAGCTATCGCTCGCATGAACACCACCAGTCGCTTCCTCACTCTCAGAACAGTCATCATCATATAACATACACTATCCATGCACAGCCACCTACTCTTTCCCCCCTATCAGCACTCACATCTTCCTCTTGCTTCAGAGCTATCGCTCGCATAAACACCACCCATTTTCTCCTCTCACAGCAATAATCAACATATAACTTACAGTACCCACGCCGACCCTCCCCCCTGTCACCACTCACGTCATCCTCTTGCTTCAGAGCTATCGCTCGCATAAACACCACCCATTTTCTCCTCTCACAGCAATAATCAACATATAACTTACAGTACCCACGCCGACCCTCCCCCCTGTCACCACTCACGTCATCCTCTTGCTTCAGAGCTATCGCTCGCATAAACACCACCCATTTTCTCCTCTCACAGCAATAATCAACATATAACTTACAGTACCCACGCCGACCCTCCCCCCTATCACCACTCACGTCATCCTCTTGCTTCAGAGCTATCGCTCGCATGAACACCACCAGTCGCCTCCTCTCTGCCCTGCGCTGCTCACTGCTGCTGCTGCCACCACCGTCACCAGCAGCAGCACCACCACCACCGCTGCCACCGGCTCTGCTGCTGAAGCCCTTGCGCCAGAGCTCTCGCAGCAGCACCAGTGCTTGCTGGTAGAGGGAATCAATGAAGGAAGGGAGGGAATTAAAGAGCAGGGACGGGGGTAAAAAAGGGGGAGTAAGGGGATGGAGAGCAGACACACAGGCATCAAGACCTGAACTGCCCTCCCCCCCACCGCCTCCGCTCCGCTGCTGAAGCCCTTGCGCCAGAGTTCTCTCAGCAGCACCAGTACTTGCTGGGGGGGGGGAGAGCAGGGGTAGTGCAGGGGGCGTGGGGGATTGGAGGGCAGACAGGCATGAAGAGATCAGAACTGCCCTCCCACATGCACCACCGACACACCACCGCTGCCACTGCCTCTGCTGCTAAAGCCCTTGCACCAGAGTTCTCTCAGCAGCACCAGTACTTGCTGGAGAAAGAACGGATGAAAAGGAGGGAGTAGGGGAGGGAGGAAGATGGGAGGAGACGGATGATAGGCAGAAAGACCCTGGGACACTCCTCACCTGGGACTTCAGCCGAATGGGTTCATCCACAGGCCTTCTGGTCACTTGAGCGTCCTTATCCGCGTAAATCAGCACTGCCAGCACGCCTTCTGTACTCGGCTGGTGTCAGGGTTGGGTTTCAAGCTTGGGGTCACTCCTCCTCACCTGGGACTCCTCACCTGGGACTCCTCACCTGGGAATCCTCACCTGGGACTCCTCACCTGGGACTCCTCACCTGGGACTCCTCACCTGGGACTCCTCACCTGGGACTCCTCACCTGGGACTCCTCACCTGGGACTCCTCATCTGGGACTAGGGATGAGCAAGGGACGAACACGAACATGTTCGCGTTCGCCCATGCACGAACACCCCTGTTCGGCGAACCGAACACTGTTCGGTTCGGCGAACACCTTAAGCAAAAACAGGTGTTCGCCGTTCGCCTATGAAGGCGTGTTCGGGCGAACCTCGAACACGTTCGTGTTCGTCTAGGGGCAAATTGCAGCAGCGGCCCGAACACGAACGTGTTCGGGCGAACATCAAACACTGTTCGGCGAACACTTTAAGCCAAAAAAACACGTCCGAGGCGAACCAAACAGGTGTTCGTTTTTTTGCTCATCCCTACCTGGGACTCCTCACCTGGGACCCCTCACCTGGGACTCCTTACCTGGGACTCCTTCCATATCGGCTCATCCACAGCAGCCCTTCCAGTCACCTCAGAATTCTTATCCGCGTCCATCAGAGCCGCCAGCACGCCTGCTGCACTTGGTGTCAGCGTTTCGGGATTCAGGGCACTCAATACTAACCTGGGACTCCAGCCATATAGGCTCGTCAACAGCCCGTCTTGTCGCTTCAGCATCCTTATCCGCGTCCATCAGAGCCGCCAGCACGCCTGCTGCCTGCTCAACCTCCCCGCGGAACATCATCCTCCTTAGAAGCCGCCTCAGCATCTGCCGGTGCACCGCTGGCAGACGAATGCAGCCGCCCCGGAACCCCAGCGTGCGGGCGGCGCTGCGGCCGCGCCGCCCGTCTGCGGTGAGCGCGGTGAGATCGTTGCCATAGTCCAAATGGCGCCACTCTTGATTGGATGTGAACCGGAAGGGCGGCAGGGACGTGTGTGGTGCAGCGGCTGCTGCTGCAGCAGCAGGAGCGGAGCGACGACGAGCAGAACCAGCACCAGCAGCACCAGCAGCACCACCAGCAGCAGCAGCACCAGAAGATGTGGCGACTCCTCCTCTTCTTGGAGTTGCTGTCTTCCTGCGATTGCGTTGCCCCTCCCTCTCTACCTCCCCCTCCAGCTGTTGTTGCTCCTGCTGCTGCTGTTTCAAGCGACTGGGAGAAGCAGCGTCAGTATCACCACCACCAGCAGCAGCAGCTGCGGCAACAGAGGGACGGTCAGAGCGACGAGCAATCTTTGCCCCACCACTCTTGCCTCTTCCTTTCACTAGCCCATCACCACCACCTTCAACTCCTTCACCGCCCTCATCAGTACCTGCACCTCCGGCAGCAGAAGCAGCCTTTCTGGATGCTGAGGGTTGGAACCGTCCGTCTCGCCCATGCGCTGGTCCCCCTCTTTTCTGCACCTTCTGTCCCTGTGCCTGCTGCGCTGCAGTGCGAAGGGCGAGGAGGGTGCGAGAGCTCTGCACGTGGGACACAGGGGGCTGGAGTTTCTTCCCCTTGCGATCTGCAGCAACACAAACAGGAGGGTATGGGGAAAAGGCTAACGATGGGAAGATTGGAACTGTCTCCCTTGTCCTCCTCGCAGAGTCCGCCCTCGCTCCTTTCTCTCCTTGCCGCTGCACTGCAAGGAGATTGGAATCAAAAGTCAACTCAAACTTTTGAGTCGACTCAAAAGCATTGGAATATTGGAACTGTCCCACTTGTCCTCCTCCTCGCAGAGTCTGCCCTCGCGCCTGCCCCTTCTCTCCCCGCACTTGCTGTGCCGCAGTGCGGAGGGCCAGGAGGGTGCGAGAGCTCTGCACGGTGCGGAGGGCCAGGGGGGCTGGAGATTCTTCTTCCTCTGATCTGCATAAAGGGGACACGGGGAAGGAAAGAACAAGGGAACAGCTAAGTAACCGTCCCCGTCGTCTTTGCTGCGTTCCCCTGCTCCCCTGCACCTTCACTCCTTGCGCCTGCTGCGCCGCAGTGCGAAGAGCGAGGAGGGCGCGAGAGCTCTGCACGTTGGAACAGGGGTCCTGGAATTATTTCTTTCTCTGATCTGCACAAAAAGAGACACGGGGAAGGAAAGTAGAAACAAATCGGTGGGGACAGTGAATTCTTAATCCTAAGCCTGATAACAACAAGTAATTTTTTTGTCAACTCAGAAATTACCTCCCAAACCCCACATTAGCAGGTCCTGGCTGGCTTGTGAACCTTGAATCCAAACCTGAAACCAGGAACTTTAAACCTGAACCTTGTCATTTGAGCCTGAACCCAGAACCCTGAAGCTTGAAGTTTGAACTTAAACCCAGAACCCTGAACCTTCAAACAAAGAGGATTTGTCCAGCGAAATTCTCGCCATGCCTCACCTTTCTGTGACGGAGGTGAATCTTTCTGCTGTTCCTCTACTCGCCCTCCTTCCACTCCCTCCTTTTCCTCCTCCTCCTCCTCCTCCTCCTCCTCCTCCTCCTCCTCCTCCTCCTCCTCCTCCTCCTCCTCCTCCTCCTCCTCCTCCTCCTCCTCCTCCTCCTCCTCATCCTCCTCCTCCTCCTGCTCCTCATTTTCCTCCTTATCCTTCTCATTTCTTTCCTCAAATTTCTCCTCATCAAATTCCTTCTCCTCTACATTTTCCTCCTCATTTTCCTCCTCAGTTTCCTCGTCGTCCTCCTCCTCCACCTCCTCGCTATCCTCCTCATTCTCCTCATCGATTTCCTCCTCCCGCTCCTTTTCACTTTTCTTCTCATTTTCTTCCTCACTTTCCTCCTCTTCCTCCCCCTCCTCCTCCTCGCTATCCTCCTCATTTTCCTCCTCACGCTCCCTGTCAACTTTCTTCTCCTCCACATTTTTCTCGTTTTCTTCCTCGGTTTCCTCGTCATTTTCCTCCTCTTCCTCCCCTTCCACCTCATCATTCTCCTCATCAATTTCCTCCTCACGCTCCTTCTCATTTTCCTCCTCACTTCCCTCCTTAATTTCCTCCTCACTCTCCTCATCACCCTCCGCCTCCCCAGCGCTCCAATTAACCTCATCAGGTTCAGGTTCCTCATTCACAACCCCCCCAGACGCCATACCGCCTAATGCGGAGGTTGCTGTGACCAGGCCAACCCTTTTCCCCTCCTTCTCTAATTAACCCCCCAACAAAAAGTTGCTTGTAAAAGTCTCCCTAATTTCTTTTAGACTTTTGCAAATCGGTCACGAAGTTCGAATATGAAGCTCGGGCTTTAGGGCATCGGTCAGAACAACGCAAGTTGTTTCGAGAAAGCGCTAAGGATCAGGAATCAGCGGCGAGGGGGCCGTATCAGAGCAGGCCAACGGCCTTCAGCACGCGACCAGCCTGTGTGTGCATGGGCCAAGGCGAGACGAACGACCTTGAACCGTTAGGCTGCGGTTCAAACGAGTTCCTGAGGGGTTTAAAAGAGCCTCAAACGCAGGGTTCAGTGTTGGTTTGAGTGAGCTTCGATGGAATGGCCTCGCGCTACTACGTTCGCTACTTTCGCTACGCTCGCGACTCTCTCTACGTTCGCGACGTTCGCTACGCTCGCGACTCTCTCTACGTTCGCGACTTTCGCTACGTTCGAATGCGCCGCGAAGGAAGTACAGGGGCTTGACGGGTCGAGAGTTCGGACGTTTGATCGCCGTCTCAGTCTGCGTTTCACACTCTGATAATGAACTGTTTTTGAGACGTCTCAAAAATGGGTCGAGAGTTCCGGTGTGTGATCACCGTCCGAGTCTGCGTTCACGTACTCCCTGTTTGCTGCTCCTAGATTAAACCTATCCACGGTCCGCCCTAACACTAGGCAGAATACGGCGCATGCTCGCTAGAAGTCGCATTGTGAAAGCTTTGCCGCAACCCAGAGAAATCTAGCAGCTATCTGGTGCCGTTCTGACAAGTGATGGGTATGTGTGTGGGGGCATGGGGAACTGGGTTTCGGGTGTGATCACCATGCACGCACGTGGTGTGAACTCAACTGCTTCTAAAGTAAACCTTCATTCGAAGAATGCAATATCGGGAATATAACGTCGGGCGTATTCTTCCTTATTTCAGGATTTTATCTCAGCCGAGCTTTGGGAGGGTTACATTGTGCTCTAGAAGTGCTGCAAAGTTCGTTGAAGTGTTTGGAGCTTGTGCGTTGCGAAACAATTTCAAATTTTTATTCCTTCCTGCGTCGTTCAATTCCCCATCATCATGCAATACCACTTCTGTCTGACAGCAATACCAAGCCATACCTCTCATTGTAATTCCGCCAGATTCTACTAGTTCCTAAACGAGGTCTGGCTCACACCAAGACTATTCTTTTCATATGTCGTGTTTGCCCAGTGGGGTGCGGAGTCGCTCGTCGTAGCTCGGGTCAACCCAGCCATTCTGAAATATTTTCAAAAGTATTTTCGAAGTATCTAGTAAACACCAGTTTTACGCAGTGGTGTAGTAAGGATGCGTGGCGTGCGTTGGTAGGCCTAACCGAGCCGCGAGCCTCTCAGGTCGCGCAGGACCAGCCGTTAGTCTCGTTGCCAGATTCGCCTCGCTTTGAATCCTGCGCTACTTCCGCCGACAGGTGTCGTATGCTTTTCAGAATTTTCATGAGCGATTCTTATCATTCTTAAAGGTCCGTGCGTATGTTCTCAAATTGATGGGACCCGCAGGCTGCAATCTTGTCAGATTATCTTCTCAAGGTCGCATTTCAGACTCTAGAAAGAAATTCTCCCGCTGATTTATACCTCCGACTCTTTTTGCTCTTCTTCTCCGCTTACGGGAGAAGAGAAGATCGATGGCGACTCAAAGCCAAAGAGGGGTTGACGACGCTGATGCTGCTTCCCCTGCTGCCGGCGCTAGTGGTGCGGGAGGTGCGGGAGGAGCGGGCGAGATGGGGGAAGAGGATTTCTTGAATTCCTCGATAGAGAGTGACTCAGTACTGCTGAGGAGAATATGGCAGAACGAGAAAGCGGCGCCGGATATTCTCCCGTACGAAACCGAGTTGGTGGAGCGGATTAAAATGAGGCTAGAAGAGCTGGTGAGTGGAATCGTCTCGTCTTAGAATCCCCATGTCTCGAATGGGAAATGTCCGCAGCGGAGTTAGTGGAGCGGACTGGAGCGAGGCTTGTAGAGCTGGTGAGCGGGATCGTCTTGGATTCCTTGTGTCTCTAACAGGGGATTTCCGCATGGAGTTGGGTCATCGTTTGCTCTTGAATCCCCATGTCTTGAATGGGAAATGTCCGCATGGAGTTGGTGGAGCGGACTGGCTTGAAGAGCTGGTGAGTGGGATCGTCTGTCTTGTATCCCCATGTTCGCATGGATGGATCGTAGGATCATCTGTCTTTAATGGGGGATGTCCGCATGGAGTTGGTGGAGCGGACTGGCTTGAAGAGCTGGTGAGTGGGATCGTCTGTCTTGTATCCCCATGTTCGCATGGATGGATCGTAGGATCATCTGTCTCTAATGGGGGATGTCCGCATGGAGTTGGTGGAGCGGACTGGCTTGAAGAGCTTGTGAGTGTGGGATCGTATTGGATTCTGATTGTCTCTTACAGCGAAGATGTGCGTGAATTTGGTGGGAGCCAACTACACTGTGACTTGCATTGTGACGTGTGCTGTGCAGGAGGAGGTGTGTGATGCGTTGAAGGGGGATGGGCGCAAGGCCATGGAGAGAGAGCTTCACATGATGGACGTCGACAGGACCAAGTATCTGCTTAGAGCATACCTCAGATGCAGAATACACAAGGTGAGTCAGTGGTTGAGTTGGGGGCGGCTGTGGTGAGGTGGTGGTACTGTGGGAGAGGGAGCTTCATATGATGGACGTCGATAGGACCAAGTACCTGCTCAGAGCCTACCTCAGATGCAGAATACAGAAGGTGAGTGTTTAAGGGGGGGGGGGGGGGGGGGGGGGGGGGGGGGGGGGGGGGGGGGCAGTGGTAAACTAGTACCCCCATCTGTGGTACAGTGGAAGCTGAAGCGTCATATGATGGACGTCGACAGGACCAAGTACCTGCTCAGAGCCTACCTGAGATGCAGAATACACAAGGTGAGTGTTTAAGGGGGGGAGGGGGGGGGGGGGGCGGTGGTAGCAGTGGTAAACTAGTACCCCCATCTGTGGTACAGTGGAAGCTGAAGCGTCATATGATGGACGTCGACAGGGCCAAGTACCTGCTCAGGGCGAACTTGTTGTGCCGGATACAGAAGGTGAGCCAGTGGTTGAGTTGGGGGCGGCTGTGGCGAGTTGGTGGTACTGTTGGAGAGGAGCTTCACACCATGGGCTTCGACAGGACCAAGTACCTGCTCAGGCCATGCCTTATGTGCAGAATACAGAAGGTGAGTCAGTGGCGGTTGTCAGTAATCTTGCCTGTGCTGAGCATCGCAGGGATTAAAAAAAATCATAAAGAAATAAAAGGAAGCCTGTGTTGAGCATTCTCACATCTTTCCTTGCCTGAGCATCGTTGCCTTGCCAGTGATGATGAGCAGGAAGTGTTAACAGCTGTACAGCATCGTTGCCTTGCCAGCTGCTTCCTCCCACACCCTCCCTCTGTGCAGATCGACCGCTTCTTTCTGCACTTTGCTGGCGAGGAGAGCTACCACAGCCGGCTGTCAGAAGGAGAGCAGCGGTACTGCGACAGGTGCGTGTGCCTGCCTGCATGCTCTGGTGCTCTGAGGAGTCATGAGGCGTCTCAAGCTACCACAGCCGGCTGTCAGATGGGGAACAGCGGTACTGCGACAGGTACGTGTGGTTGCTTTCTTGTGTGTGCCTGCTACTGTGTGCTTGGTTGCTTCGGCCTGCCTGCCTGCTCATTGCTCTGAACTAGCTACCACAGCCGGATGGGGAACAGCGGCACTGTGACAGGTACGTGTGGTTGCCGTGACGTGCTTGCTGCTGTGTGCTTGCTGGCTTGTGCCTGCCTGCTCTAGTGCTCTGAGGAGTTGTGAGGTCTCTAGTGCTCTGCTCTCACAAGAGACGAGTTCTGAGACGTCTTGAGAAAGAACTCGTCTCTTGGTCACTTGAGAGCGAAACTTTCTGAAGGTGGACAGGTGGGCTGCGAAGGCCTTATTTCCATTCCATCAACTCAATAGGTAAGTGCGTCCCAGGCATCAAAACGAGTCCTTGGTTCAGATGGGTTCGGTTAGGTGAGGGCGTTAACGTTTTTGAAACAGCCACCTTGAGAGCCAACTAAATATTTTCGGTCCTTACAGGTCTGTGAATCTGTGATGAGTAGGCTGTGAATCTGCAGGTATATCTGGTTCAGGAGCGTCTGGATTCTGGCCAGGCCCGCACTCTCCAGAAAACCCTTACTCACCCTCCCCACTCCTCCATTGTTCCCACCAGGCAGGTAGATCTGGTACAGGGGCGTCTGGAAAGGACTGTTCCTGAATCAGTGCTCTCTGCCATCTTCTTGCTGCAGGCAGGTAGATTTGGTGCAGGCGCATCTGGGCAGGACTGCACTTTTTACTAAACCGCTTTTTTCTTTTGTTTCTTCCAGGCAGGTAGATCTGGTGCAGGCGCATCTGGACAGGACTGCACTCACGCGCCTGCCACGCCGCTACCAGTCCATCCTGAAACAGGCGGACTCGAGCGAAACCCCTGATATGAGTGAGTGCCATGCAGGGTTTAAAGGTTACAATCTGGGGGTTTCGGGGTTTGAGTTTGGGGTTACAGTCAACCCACGCCGCCACCAGTCCATATCAAGCAGGCAGACTCATTTCCGCTCGTTTTCGTTCAAGTCAATTTACCCGTCTTTTGAAACAGCTCGCCGTGTTTTTCCAACTGATTGACCCCTTTTGAGGCACCTCAGAAGTAGGGTTGGAGGTTCCGCTCGTTTCCGCTCACCAAGGGTTCAAGTCAATCTACCTGAGTTTCGAACCAGCTCACCGTGTTTTCCCACTAACCCCTCCCTCTGCAGTCCCCACTCCTGAGCTTGACACGTTTGTGTTCTGTGTGGCCTGGCCACTCACCTTCTGCCATCTGTCCAGCTGGCCAAACTACCCACGACTTCAAATCCACATTACCCGACTCTTCCCAACCAATCAACCCCTCTTTGGCAGTTCCCACTCCCGACCTCGACACATTTGTGTTCTGTGTGGCCACTCGCCTCCTGCCGTCTGTCCAGCTGGACCCAGAGTGAGTAGTACAGAGGGGTAACAGGTTGTGACTTATTGCAGCTGGGACGTTGGTGTTTTGTTCACATCTTGTGTTCTGTATGCCCCACTCGCCCCCTGCCGTCTGTCCAACTGGACCCAGAGTGAGTAACAGGGGGGCAACTGGTTTGAGAAAACGAGCAGCTTTTGAGAAATTTCAGGATTGAGCAACAGGGAAGTCGGGCAAAACGTCAGACATTTGAGCCGTTGTTTTTTTTGCATGTTCCGTGCCTCCACACGCCCTCTTCTGCCTGTTGAGGTTAATTCCAAGTGAGTGATGCAGGTAGTTCGAAAGAATGGATACAAAGGAGGCAAGGTGGAGTGGAGTAATCTGGTTCTTGGAGAAGAGAAATATTAAGCATAATTTCTCATATTCATATTCCTAGTGCCGTATTCCATGTTAGGATATGAAAGTGTAACCCGGGTCCCCGAGGTGCGACATCAATTTCGTGTTTCATTTGAACATGAGATGGGGCACGTTCATGTTAGTGTACCGTATCTTTCAACACTGTTTTCTGTTTCACCCTCCGGCCCCTTGCTCTCCTTCCAAACATCCAGGCTTGATGATGTCATCGGCATGGCGCCTGGAGAACTCCACATTCTGCGATATAGGCCGATCCAAACATTTGTACAGTCCGGTGATATAATTCTTCTGTGAGATACGGAATATGATTCGCTTGAAATGATTGAAACTAATGTTTGCACATTTGTGAAGTTTTCTGCGTGTTTCCAAAATTATAGATCACGAGTTTCTTGATGGTTATGTGACAAGTTACTGAGTGACGCATGCTTGTGGGAAGACAGGTTTCAAAACTGCAGGAATTTCACTGTTCTTACGAGTTCGACTCTTTTAGAACTGAAAGCCACAAACGAGATCTCGGGTCTTCCTCAACTGAGTCAGTGCTCAATACTCTCTTTCCCGCCACACATTTCTGACGCTTCTGACACATTTAGAGCAGCACTATTGGCCGACTATTCGACCCTTCACGCCTAGCCACTACAGGAGGTTCTACTGTCTAGCGTCCTTCTTTGACATGTGTACCATTAGTAATCGCTATGGAAGCATGTGTCTGTCGTAAGGAGTTCCTGTTGTTGCGATAGGCGTCAATATCGTTTTGTGAAGCCCTGCTCCTGCCCTTCGATCCGAAGCACCTCAGCAAATCGGCGGCCCAGTTGATCTGATCTGTTACCTCTTTCGCACAACTGAACTCATAACGCCGCATCCTTTTTCGCGCATGTGGTAACACCAAAACGTGTTTATTCGCCACATTGGCGACCATGACTTTCTCAGAATCATGGGGATCTCTCGTCGATGACACACGTGCGAACATCAAACCACCAACGAAGTCCAAACGGTTTCCGTTAACGTTCCGTTTTACGTCAACGTTGGCCCTATTTCAGCGCATTCTCCTCCCAGTAGCACTTCTTCTTCAGCTCTTAGCGGGGATGTTCTTCATCCATCACTACCAAACCTCCAATTTCCTCCCTTCCACGTCAGAAGTTTCAACTTCCCGAGGAAAGACTTTTCTAGCTGCCCTAGATGCGACTGCTTTCTCCAGTGTAGCCGATACTTCTCTAGCTGTAGCAGGGTACAGTACCATCGGCAGCACTGTATCTGACTCGGCGCGCAGTGGGTCCCAAACCGACAAGCTGGTTACCAGGAGTGTTACACGAGCGAAAATCAACGATGTAACCAGCACTTCTACATTGACATCTGAGGATGTAACTGTCACGGACGCACCGGTTATGCACAGGTCTCGCATCTCATTGGGCCTTGATGACGTCACGATCACGTCACTCAACAGACTGCAGCAGTCAACCGGGTTAAGAGCGGCTCCGTTAGTGGTCAGTAACGGAAGGGGGGGAGGAGGAGGGAGAGGAGCGCTGAGAGGAGGGGAACGCGGAAGGGGAAGCGGAGGGGGAAGTAGAGGGTCAAATGGAGGAGTGAGGGTAGGGCTAAGGGGAGGGACCAGCGGAACAGGTTGGGGCGGAGGGGGGGAAACGGCGGAAGGGCGGAAAATCACAGGCAGGGGATGGTGGGGCTGGCTGGTAGGGGGACTGAAGGAAGGGGAGGGGATGGGAGAGGGAGGAGAAGAGGAAGGAGGAGGGGAGGGAGAGGAGGTAGGAGCGGATGAATCTTCGTCTCGACACAAGCCTCTGTGGCTGCGAAAGCTAGAGGAGAGAGACGCACAAGCGCTGGCATTGCAGCAGAACGGGGGGAAGGGAGGGGGTGAGGGCAAGGGAAAGGAGAGAGGGGAAGGAGGGAGAAGAGGTGGGGGTGGAGGTGGGAAAGGAGGGGGGAAGGGAGGAGGGAAGGGAGAAAAGGGAGGGGAGCTTCGAATAGTTGCAGGCAGGCTGGTGAGGAAGATTTCAAAGTACGATATGCTGCTTGCGATGCTGGCGGAAGTTGCCAGGAAGGAGCAGCAGGCGAAGAGGGCTGTGGCTGAATGGCAGAGGCTCGGGAATCCGTGGCCTCCAGTCGTGGCTCGGCCGGACCTGCTGGCGAGGAACGAGCTTCCGGTTCGGAATGCGGATAAGTTTCCCGAGGCGGGGGGAGGGGGAGGAGCACAGAGGGGAGGGGCGGAAGCGGAGAGAAGAAGGGGAGGAAGGTGGAGGGGAGAAGGAGGGGAGGGGCAGGAGGAGCGGGTGATAGTGGTGCTGTACGTGCACAGGCGGGCGGAGTATCTGAAGGTGGCTTTAGAGGCTCTGTCTAAAGTCCAAGGCATCAACGAGACGCTCCTCATTGTCAGGTGCGTTGCATTATGAGTCCGTGTGGGGTTGCAAGTAGTGCTGCCAGGGCTCATAGGAGGACGGAGTACCTGAAGGCGGCTTTAGATGCTCTCTCTAAAGTTCATGGCATGAACGAAACCATCCTCATTGTCAGGTGCGAACCTGCAGACAGTCAATGGCTGGCAGGTTACGGGTGGGGCAGGAGGAGCGAGCAGGTGATAGTGGTGCTATACATGCAGAGCAGGTGATAGTGGTGCTATACATGCAGAGCAGGTGATAGTGGTGCTATACATGCAGAGCAGGTGATAGTGGTGCTATACATGCAGAGCAGGTGATAGTGGTGCTATACATGCAGAGCAGGTGATAGTGGTGCTATACATGCAGAGCAGGTGATAGTGGTGCTATACATGCAGAGCAGGTGATAGTGGTGCTATACATGCAGAGCAGGTGATAGTGGTGCTATACATGCAGAGCAGGTGATAGTGGTGCTATACATGCAGAGCAGGTGATAGTGGTGCTATACATGCAGAGCAGGTGATAGTGGTGCTATACATGCAGAGCAGGTGATAGTGATGCTATACATGCGCCGGCAGGAAGAGTACCCGAGAGTGGCTTTAGAGGCTCTTTCTCGAGTCCAACGCATCAAGGAGACGCGCCTCATGGTCAGGTGCGCCGTGAATGCATGTGAATGCATTGAGGTGCCTCTGGATGCTCTCTCTCAAGTCCAAGGTGCGTGCCTGCTGGTTTTTGAGAATTCTCAAAAACCAAGTCCAAGGTGCGTGCCTGCTGGTTTTTGAGAATTCTCAAAAACCAAGTCCAAGGTGCGTGCCTGCTGGTTTTTGAGAATTCTCAAAAACCAAGTCCAAGGTGCGTGCCTGCTGGTTTTTGAGAATTCTCAAAAACCAAGTCCAAGGTGCGTGCCTGCTGGTTTTTGAGAATTCTCAAAAACCAAGTCCAAGGTGCGTGCCTGCTGGTTTTTGAGAATTCTCAAAAACCAAGTCCAAGGTGCGTGCCTGCTGGTTTTTGAGAATTCTCAAAAACCAAGTCCAAGGTGCGTGCCTGCTGGTTTTTGAGAATTCTCAAAAACCAAGTCCAAGGTGCGTGCCTGCTGGTTTTTGAGAATTCTCAAAAACCAAGTCCAAGGTGCGTGCCTGCTGGTTTTTGAGAATTCTCAAAAACCAAGTCCAAGGTGCGTGCCTGCTGGTTTTTGAGAATTCTCAAAAACCAAGTCCAAGGTGCGTGCCTGCTGGTTTTTGAGAATTCTCAAAAACCAAGTCCAAGGTGCGTGCCTGCTGGTTTTTGAGAATTCTCAAAAACCAAGTCCAAGGTGCGTGCCTGCTGGTTTTTGAGAATTCTCAAAAACCAAGTCCAAGGTGCGTGCCTGCTGGTTTTTGAGAATTCTCAAAAACCAAGTCCAAGGTGCGTGCCTGCTGGTTTTTGAGAATTCTCAAAAACCAAGTCCAAGGTGCGTGCCTGCTGGTTTTTGAGAATTCTCAAAAACCAAGTCCAAGGTGCGTGCCTGCTGATAACCAAGAGCCTGCGGGGAGCAGGCAGTGGTAGTGGTGCTGTATGTGCACAGGCGGGTGGAGTACCTATGAGTGGCGTTAGATGCTCTGTCTGAATCTGAAGTCCAAGGCATCAACGAAATCCGCCTCATTGTCAGGTGCGTCCTTGCTGGTAATTAGGTGCCATAGTCATAGTGGCCGGGGTCTAACTTTGAGTTAGCTATTTCAAAAGTCGGCTCATAGAGATAGCGGCTGGGGTCTTCCTTCCCTGCAGTCAACGCCCACATCCGCTCAAACACCTTCTGTCGCGTCAAGCAGATCTACTCCCTCCTCTCCTTGCACCTCATCCTTGGTTTTCCCCTTTCCTCCCCTCACCTACCAGCCACGACGAGTACTTCCCATCCCAGAAGTTGACGCCCTCGTCTGCTCAATCTCCTACTGCCCTGTCAAGCAGACCTACTCCCCCCTTCTTGCTGCACCTCCAAAACGGCTCCTTCCCTCCCTCTCCTCAACTTCTGCACCCATCCCCCCCCACCCCCCCTCTCCACAGTCACGATGGGTTCTTCCCGGCAGTTGACGCCCTCGCCCGTCCAATCACCTTCTGCCATGTCAAGCAGATTTACTTCCCCCTCTCGCTGCACCTCATCCCTGGTTTTCCCCTTCCCTCCCCTCACCTAGCAGCCACGATGGGTTTTTCCCTGCAGTGGACGCCCTCGTCCGCTCAATCACCTTCTGCCCTGTCAAGCAGATCTACTTCCCCCTCTCGCTGCACCTCCGCAACGGCTCTTTCCCCAACCGCTCCCCGTTAGACTGCCCTCCCAGCAGCAGCTTTAAAGGCCGCAGGGATGGGCAGCAAGAGGAGGAGGGGCAGAGGAAGGGGCAAATGAACGGGCAGGAGAAGGGGCAGGTGAAGGGGCAGGAATTGGAGCAGAAGGAGGAGCAGGAAAAAGGGCAGGAGGGGGGGCAGAAGGAGGAGAGGAGCGAGGAGGGGGCGTGTTTTGGAGACATGGACCAGAATGGGCGATACAGGGATCCTCACTTCGTGGCTCTGAAGGTACATTTTGTGTGCTGGTCATTTGGTAAGGCCAGCAATAGGTAGTGCGTGCAAAAGTATTGGGAGCGTGTTTTGGAGACATGGACCAGAATGAGCAATACAGGGACCCTCACTTCATGGCTCTGAGGGTATTACTAGGCACCGCGTGAATACAATCAGAAGGGCCGGAAAGTGAAGGGAGCATGTTTTGGAGATGGGGCGGTACTTTCCAGCCGGTACAGGGTTCCTCACTTCGTGGCATTAAAGGTACTGGCTGCTCATGCTATCTGGTAGCACGTGTCTTATGGTGAGGAAAGGGTGTACTTTGCTGTCAAGGAACTGGATGAACCGAGGTTTGGGAAACGCAGACTGGAAAGGGCAATACAGGGACCCACACTTCGTGGCGTTTAAGGGCGCGTCCCCTCCCTCGATCGATCGCGAGATCGACGTGAAAAACCGATCGGGCACACCGATCGCAGGATTGGGGCGGGATTGGTAGGAGGTGACAATCGCGGATCGATCTCGAGCCCAGGGTGACAGGATCGAGAATTCAAGGGGGAAAAACTCTCGATCCTACAAAAGCCGAGATCAGTGTGGCCAGGAAGGCACATCAATCGTCATCAGCGGAGGTGACAAGATCGTTGGGCCCCAGTTACTGTAGATTCGCTAGCCATCTCGAAATGTGGTTACTCTGTCAATTGCAACACTGTACCTGTCCCTCGATCGATTGAGGGCAGGATCGATCGAGGGAGGGGACGCGCCCTAAGGTTCATTCTCGAATCAGTCCCTCCTTTGCCTCTCTCCCTGCACTTCATTGCTCTTCCCTGCAGCACCACTGCTGGTGGATGGATGCAGAACACGGTGTGTGATGGCCTTCACAAAACCAAGTCTTTCACCGGCCACATGCTCTTCATCGAGTAGGGCTACCTGCTCTTCCCCAACGTCCTCCCATGTTTGTTGACTCTCCCCATTCCCTCCTTCTCCACTTTCCCCCCACGCCCAGCACCACTGGTGGTGGATGCAGAACACAGTGTGGGACGGCCTAGCAGAAACCGAGTCATTCACCGGCCACCTGCTCTTTCCCAATGCGCTCCCTTATTTCAATGAGTCACATTCTCTTTATTGAAGAGGACCACCTGCTCTTCCCCAACGCCCTTTCTTATTCAACCCAGTGCGTTCTTCCCGTTACCCCTGTTGTTCCCCACACCCAGCACCACTGGTGGTGGATGCAGAACACGGTGTGGGACGGCCTTCCAGAGACCAAGGCTTTCACCGGCCACATGCTCTTCATCGAGGAGGGCCACCTGCTCTGTGACGTTCCCATCCTCCCTCTTTCACCCAGCTCCCCTCTCAGAAACCACTTCATTCACCGCCCACATGCTCTTCATCGAGGAGGGCCACCTGCTCTTCCCCAACGCGCTCGCCCTCTTTCGCGCCCTCATTTCATGTGGAGAGCGAGCAGGCAATGACCCCTCTGTTTTCCTCTCCTCCCGTGTCCTACCCTTCCCGCTCCTTTCCTTCCCCCCCATTCGCAGCACCACTGGTGGTGGATGCAGAACACAGTGTGGGACGGCCTGTCGGAAACTAAGTCATTTACCGCCCACATGCTCTTTAATGAAAAGGACCACCTGCTCTTCCCCAACGCGCTCGCCCATCTGTGCTCTTCTTCTTCCACCATCCTCCACCTTGTTTCCCTTCCCTGTGCCTGCAGCACCACTGGTGGTGGATGCAGAACACGGTGTGGGACGGCCTTGCAGAAACTGAGTCCTTTACCGGCCACATCCTCTTTATTGAAGAGGACCATCTGCTCTTCCCCAACGCGCTCGCTCACTTGCATGCGCTCATACGCGTGAAGAACACGCGGTGCCCCGAGTGTGTGGCAGTCACGCTCGCCCCTTCGAACGTGAAATCCCGAGGGGAGAATGGGCTGAGAGCGTTTGTGCGCGAGAGGATGGGGAACGTGGGGTACGCTTTTAATAGGACCGTGTGGGAGCAGATTCACAAGTCCCACAAGGTGAGACGATATCACGCACAGTTCTAAAGTCTGGGCTGAGGGCGTTTGTTTTGCGAGAGGAGGGGGAACGTGGGGTATGCGTTTAACAGGAGCGTGTGGTAGCAGATTCAGAAATCCCACAAGGTGAGATGAAGCAACACACAGTTCTTGAATCTGTCTAAAAAGTGGGGTTAGCACGTTTGTTTTGCGAGAGGATGGGGAACGTGGGGTACGCGTTTAATCGGAGCGTGCGAGAGAAGATTCGGCAATTCCAACCCACAAGGTGAGTTGAAACCATGGGTTCTAATATTGTCTGGAGTGTGGGGTTAGCATGTTCATGCGCGAGAGAATAGGGAAAGTGGGGTATTCGTTTGACCGGAGTGTGTAGGAGCAGATTCGCAAGTCCCACAAGGTGAGTCAAAAGTGTGTGTGGTTCTGCATTCTCCATCTCGAGAGTGGGTTGCTTCTCCTCTTCCGACGAGCTCTCCCAACATGGGGTGAGCATTCAACCAGAGGTTCATAGATCCCACGAGGTGAGTCGAAGTGGCAGGTGCGTTTGCATTGTCCTCTCCCAACCGCTTTCTCTTATATGCATGCTCTCACCCGTCACTTTTCCTGTACCTATCCTTTCCCAAACCTTCCTGCCTTCCTTCATGGGCTCGTGAACAGTACCTCTGGCACTTTGACGGCTACAATTAAGGGGTCTTAGTACCAGAAATACTGTTTTACCTCCGAAACCATGTTTTACCTCTGTCGCAAATGTCTTCATCCCTTTCCATCCTTCCTTTATACATCCTTCCCCCTCTCTTCTTGGTTCATGAACAGTACTTGTGCTACTTTGACGACTACAACTGGGACGTGTCCCTTTCCGAATCCATCTTCCACTATTGGCGCCACTCCTCCGCGCTCCGCTGGTCGGCTGCTTCTGCGCATCACTTTGGCCGCTGCGGCCTGCACTCAGAAAAGCCAGAGCCGCCCGCCCACTATCTTGTTCGAAAGAACAAGACTGAACCTGAGATTGAGGAGCAGCATGCCTCGGATGGCCGTGTGAACCCGAGGGGCCGACTTGATGGTGATGATGGAAGAACAGAGCAGTACAGAAGGATTGAGAGCGATTTGGTTGTTGTGAATGTAACAGGGAATGGGTCTTCAGCTGTGGATCAGTGTTCTAAAGAAGGCTTGCAGCTGCCTAGACTGTTGCTGCATGATTTGCGGCCGGATATTGACATGGATGCACCAATTAGAGCGTTCGATTTCAAGGGTCCGGTTTTTGAACGGTTTACTGGGTTTGGAGGGTGGGGAGATGGAAGGGACCATATGCTCTGCATGCACAGTGGTGCACTATATGGAAAGCGTAGCAGAACACCTCAAGCCTGATTCATTCTGTGTTCTTTATTCCATGGTACCGTAAGGGTGCGTCAGATCCGTTACAAGTTGATTTGGCTGGAATTTGGTCGACAATTTGGTCGACTAAATCTTTCGCCAAAGTCGACAACAGGGTCGACATAAAAAACGACCAATATCCGGCAATATTTACAGGGCCGAAAAATCTGACACATTTGGTGGCCGATTTGCAGGCCGCTTTGCAAATGTGTCAGATTAGCAGGTCGCGAGGGTGGCCGGATTGTGCGACGCAGTCGCAGATCCAGTACCGTACTCGTGTGACACGTCGCGTCGCACGAGTTGGCGACTCGGTCGACTTTTGAGTCGACTGCACGTCGAATGCTGAACCGGCCATCAAATTTTTTACAAATGGCCGGATTTGGCGAATTGCGCGAAAATTTGTACGAATGTCGCAAATGCGTTACCTTTGCTAATTCCGGCCGGCCGGATTTTTCCGACAACGGATCTGACGCGCCCTAAGAGGTTTCTAGCCAAAAGGCTTACACCAAGCAGCACAATGCAAGTTCACATTCTTTGACAACCATAACTGCATGGTTTCTCATCAGCCTTCAACACCCATCAAATACAAGGAGGCAATTGCAGATGCAACTGAAATGAAAATAGATACCGTATGACTTGCAGCTGTGCTCTGGCTAGCCACTTTGAATATGGTAGGAAGTTCCCTTGGAGGAACATCAGCGGAGCCATCATTTATCATAAATAAATACGTGTCCAGTTCCACCTGCTGGAACTTTCACACATGCCCAGCAACCTGGTGGACCACTTCACAGCAGCGAGTGAAGATATCAACTTGTCCGGAGCTTGTCAGTGCTTCTTTGAGGGCCTACATGAATGCCAGAGCATAAGCAGATAACCCAATATAAACTTTAATGGGCGCGCCTTGATGAAATAGGGCTCCTTACGTCAACCAGTGTTGTCTTAGCATTCAAAGCTTCTGCAAGTTCATGTGTCTGTACTAACAGCCATCAACGACTCCTGCACAAGCGACCACCACATTCAGCAACATGACAGGCGGCATGACACACCAATACAATGCTTACCTTGAGCTGTGCCATCTCAGTCTGCATTTGTGCTTTCTCAGATTTGAGCTGAGAGACCTGTTGTAGTGCAGGCCAGACATGAATGGGTTGCTGTAATTGAAAGGATAGCTGCAGGAAAACCATTGCGGTGTCACCTCTTCTGATAACGTTGAGATAGCATTGAGCCTTCGTAAGCGAGATCTTTCCGCAGACTGCCGATTCGCCAATATCCGTTCAGCCTTCTTAGGGTTTTCAGCTCGTGCACTCTGCATTAAGGTGGTTAAAATGGTACTGTACACAAAATCTCAAGAAAAATGTCAGCCGAATTCAAGATTATGCTTACTTCAAGCCTCTCCCTGTCCCGATCTCTGCGACTGGATCCTGGCATGTAGACACAGCTCAATGTGCAATATGATGACACTGAACGCATAAAATTATAGCAGGAACTCTTACGAGGACCATCCCCTTTGTCAACCATGTAATGCGTATACTTACCAGCGGAGGTCGATGTAAGCTCACCACCCCATCTGCAGAATAGGTCATTTTGTTTAGGAGGTATTATCCTGATTGAATTCTTGAAGAACTCACCTGGTTCGCTTTGTGCGATTCTGGCGCTTCTTTCCGGTGCCAGTTTCGTTTGATGAGAGCTCAAGATGTCGTTCGTTCTTTTCGCAAGGAGGGTCACTTGAACGGTCCCGACGTATCAGAGTAAGAGGTTGACAGTTCTCCTGGCCGCTCGGTTGCTTGCGTTTACGTTCGTTGTCCATGCTCCTTGCAGGTTGAGTCAGCGGCATATTGCTGCACCTTTGGAGCGTGATGCCACTGGAATACACGTCCGAAGCCTTAAGAGGCTTTAGAAACGCATCACGTCTATCTCCTACTCGGCGTTCGCTGAAAAGCACAATGCAGCGGTTATGGGAGATTTGCATTGAAAAACATCGTTTTCGACATCGTACCTCTCCTCCGATAAACCGTCTGGATGTGCTTCCTCGAGTCGTGGGGCTGAAAGGCTTCCAATCCATGGCACTAGCGCCATGGTTCCACGCTCAAGTTCAACGGAGACTTTATCTGCTTGGACAAACGACCATTCAATGCACTTTAACTATATCCTAAATGCCTGACGACTAACCTGAGTCTTCGTCCATTTCGTCAGTGAAAGGTTGCAAGGATGGCTGTGAGCTTGCACTGATTCCTTTATGAATGAAGCAGAATGCGCACACACGATGCCCCGAAGAGGACAGGCATGTTGGAAACAGAGGGAGTGGTCTTGAACGATACCAAACTTGGGACAGGCTGCCCAAGTGTTTGGCGATTTGGGCCGGACCTCACTGAGTGCAGTTACCCCAATCAGTGCTTCCGAGCCAGCGTCGCTACTTCATGAGACCGAACTTTGCCAGCGTCCTTTCGTGTCCACAGTCGCATTCCATGACATGAACCCGAACGCCGAACATTCGTACGAATCAGACCTTGCGAAAGACATGAAACTCGAACATTGATTTTTTGAAAATCAACATCAGAACCGATTGTCTTCAGGAAACGTGAACACGCCCTGCATAAAACCTAAAGAGATGGGTGTTGGTGGATAAACAGGTAGAGTTGCCTCAACACCACCCATTGGCTAGGTTTCTCATGAAGCTCCTACCGCTTAACTTCAGGGCGTGCAGTAGAACCAAAGGTCCTCGCCAGAGTCCAACTAAATTTGTCAGTCTCATGAGTCTGGTGCAAGTGGAGGGACGCGAAATCTTGTGACGCCTTTATCTTGAAGAGGACCTCTATCTTGAAGAGGGCCTCAGCATCTTGTGATCACTCAGTGACGTCCTTCAGACGAGCTTATCGGGAAGTTTCTGTGCTCGTCATTTCTGGAAATTGTTTCCTTGCCGTTTTTAAAATTATCATGGCGGTTACCAGCTCTAGTGAAGAGGAGGACCGTCGGGAAGATAAGCGAGACCGGAAGAGAAGGAGCTTGAGCAAGCAGGACAAGCCTCGCAGCGAAAAGGAGGACAGGAAGGATCGCGAGCAGAAGCGTCGTAAGCGGCGACGACGCGAATCCAGCGACTCTAGCGACAGTAGCGACGACAGCGGATCAGAAGCTTCAAGCAGTGGATACAGCAGCGACGAGAGCGAGATCAGCAGGAGGAAGAAACGACGAGAGAAAGAGGGGAAGCGTCGAAATAGGTGAGTGTTCGTCCTTTTGTTAAGCTTCTTTGTTGCCATGGTTTCCCGTAATTTCAGTCTCATGATGTTTCCTTTGTATTGGTTTTCTACTTTCAGGAGTCGCTCGAACAGCAGCAGCGACAGCGATGGGTCGGAGGACAGTGATTCCAGTGAAGACGGCAGGAGTAAACGAAAGTCAAGATCGTCCAAGTCATCTAGCGGCAAGGTATCATTTCTTGCTTGTTCTTGGGATGTTTCAATTGTTCGTATGTCGCGTGTAGGTTCATGCCATGTGTCTCTGTCCGTCATTCAGGGCTAACGTCCTCTAAAGAACTTGATTTGTTTTGCCTTTGGATTTTTTTTATGTTTTTCATCGATAATCATATCACACAGTGCCTTTTTCATGTGCCTTTTTACAGTGCCTTTTTTAGTTTAGTATTCCATATCTTCTCCTCTTCTAAAGCTGCTTATACTGGTCTTCTCACTCTTACGGGGTGATTGGATTGGAGGGGGGTTTGGGATGGGTGCGATGGGGATGTGATGAGGTCGCTGGGATGCGTATGAGTGCATGGGAAGGATGAACGAGGGGAAGCAGAAGAAGAGTAGCAGCCGTCGCGACCGTCGCCGATCCAGCAGGGACAGGCGCTCTGACAAGATGGGCAAAAGCAAAAAGCGATCATCAGACAAGGTACTTGCTTGTCTTAAAGCTGTGTCAAGACGACGTATCATATAGTGGTTCCTTGCAAGCATGTCTGCACGCTGACTGTTGCTAACTCTTTTTTTTTTTGTTTTGTTTTGTTTTGTTTTTTTTTTTTTTCCGTCTTTTCCCAACTGAAGGTTCCTCAACTTGCTAATTTTGTCCCTTCTTTTCCCCTCTTCCTGTTTGCTGCCTGTTATCCTGTCTGTGTGTATGCATGTGTGCTTGCTTGTGTTTTCTTTGCGTGTCCGTCTGTGGCGGGTGTTGGCTGTGCATGCATGTCACATCCCACAATCACATATATGCCATCTCCAAATCTTTCCTTTCTGGAGCTCCCATTGTGGCGCCGTGTCACATGGACCGTGTCACGTGCCATCATCCTGTCTACTCCTCGAGTGCAACTCCTTACGTCGACACAATTCTCAACCTGGAAATTCATCAACACTGCTAACTCTTGCTGGAGTTTCTACCTGCTTCACTGCTTCACCACTGCAAACATGTTTTTATTCGCTTCCTCATTTCTGTGCTGCTACTCTCTTTATTTGGATGCACCCTTGCACGTGTTGTTATGCTCTCTGCGATGCACTAATTCTTTGTTTGCACCCCCCTTCTCATCATTCAGAAAGGATCCAAATCCTCTGGTGAAGCAACACCGGGCCCAGTGCAGCTCTCACAGGTCAGTTTCTCTTGAAATCAGCTTTTGCCAGTTTGGGAGCTCCTGTGCTTTCCAGCAATACATAGATCAGCTTCCTGCTTTTGGATCTTGTTTTCTTCTCCTGGGTCCCACTGTGACCATTTTCTGATCCCGGTTGTGTTTGTGACATCTGTACAGGTCAAGCTCTCCTCATCACTGTTCCTTTCTTTCCACTTCCTTTTTGCTGATCTTGCCCAGTTTCTTGGTCGCGATGATGGCTCCACACGCTACAGTGTCATATCAGGCAAGAAGGTACGTCAGGAAATGGGACACATCAGAGCCATGCACAGAGGCGAGAAACCTGAGCTGAGCGAATAAAGTTATGAAATCATTGAACGAAGTCAGCCAGTGGAGGCCTTTGTCGACGTGTATGCTTCTTCCTTCCCAGCCTCACTTCCATAGTTACGCGCTTCTGATCTCAGCTTCTTAAACACACATTGGTTTTCTTTCTTCAGATTCGCATGAAGGTGGACAAGACCAAGGACGACAAGGTAGCTGAAGCCAATCGATCTGAGCTCCTGCGCTTCCTTAATTCAAGCTACGACTAGGTTGAGGCTGAGTGCTGGTGTTCGCCTCCAAGTCGTTTGAAAGAAGCCTATCAATCCGAGCTCTTGTGCTTTCTGAGATCACGGTATGGTGCTGTGCAATGAATCAGAGTCTTGAGGTAGTATAGTAATTGAGTGTTTACACACAGGCAATAGTTACAATCTTTCCTTACAGTGAGGCAGGACTAGGGTGATGATGTATTGACAATTTTGTCATTGTGTGGTAGTGGGTGTTGGTTGCAGGTTTCTGCTAGATTTGACCGTATATTATAATGATCTTCCATATTCACCGCACCATCTGGAAGAATATCTTGTGATACCTAGTACCACTGGCTCTTACTGGAAAGTCAGAGTCAGTACAACATTCCTACTGCACAGCACTCTAGATGAGGCTATAACACTGCCATGAAGCAAGCATCTGTAGTTGCAGCTTTCCTTGGAAGGAAGGCAGGCTCTACTTGAAGCACTTGGCCTCCTGCAGTTTGAGCCCATCGACCTCATCAGGCTCCTCAAAGTAAGCATTCACACGCTCCTTCTGCGCCTCGTCACTCAGGTCCACCTGGAAAGCAACACAGATGAGGGGTGTGGAGTGGAGAACAATACAGTGGAAACAATTGTAAGTATAAGCACGCATTCACACACTCCTTCTGTGTCTCGTCACTCAGGTCCACCTGGAAAGCAACAAACGCACACCAGTGGAGAGCAGTGGAGAGTGGTGGAGTGCAATACAGCAGACACAAGTATGCATTCACACACTCCACGCCTCGTTGCTCAGGCCCACCTGGAAAGCAATGCACACGGGTGAAGTGTGGTGCGATACAGCAGGCACGAGTGAAGCAGAGCAGCGCGGAGAAGAGGAAAGTGCAGGATAGAAGCGAAGGATGCATGGAATCACTTTGAGAATTCTCAGCAGGGGGATGATTGTCCCCTGTAGAAGAGCTTATGTTAGAAAGGGGAATGAGAGTAGCAGGAGGGGATGGAGGTCACATTACTCTGCATCTCTTGCACCACTCACCTTGCTCCAAGCATACAGCTCGCAGTCGTAGCACTCCTCCATCACAAACGGCGGCACCTCGCTCCCGCGGAACAGCCACACGCCCTTGTCACAAACGGGCCCTCGTCCGGACCCAGAATGCACATCTTGGCAAACGCGTACTTGCCTCAACCCATTCCCACCTCCCTCGCCCCATTCCACCTGCCCCGCTTCCCCAAATCCAACCACGATTTGACCGTCCTGCCCCTTTCTCTAACGCTCTTTCTCACTCTCACCTTGCTCCACTCGTAAAGCTCGCAGTCGTAGCACTCTTCCAGCACGAATGGAGGCACCTCACTCCCCCGGAACAGCCACACGCCCTTGATCACGAACGGGCCCTCGTCTGGACCCAGAATGCACATCTTGGCAAACGCATACTTGCGGGCCAGGTCCATGCGTTGCAGGAATCCTGACACTTTGTTCAGCGTCACGAATTTTACAGTGTTCTCGTCGTTAAACTTGTAGTCGCAGAACCAGAGAGAGTAGCCCTCAGGATCAAACATCTCCCAGAAGCCTGGAGAGTGTTTGGTGGGGGTAAGAGTGCGGTACGGATGGGTACAATGGGATGTTGAGCGTCACAAACTTCACGGTGTCTTCACAGTGTTCTCGTTGTTGAACATGTTGTCGCGGAACAAGAGGGAGTAGCCCTCAAGATCAGACATTTTCCAGAAGCCTGGTAGGGAGGGAGACGGGGAGAAGAGGATGCAGGCATGTGAGAGTAAGTGGAGAGAGGGACGGCAAGGGCTTCATCGTGCTCTTATCGTTGAACTGGTAGTCGCAGAACCAGAAGAAGAAACCTTTTGCAGCAAGCTCGAACATGTCCCAGAAGCCTGGGAGGGTGAAACAGTACCGTACAGACGGATACAATGAGATGTTACATGGAAAATGAGGATGGTGAAAATAACCCTTCACATAAGAACGTCCCAAGCCTCACCTTTGATGATCACTCCTCTGAAGATCTTTTGAGGCGCCTCAAAAGTCACCTTTGATGGCCACCTCTCTGAACTCCTGCGCCTTGGTGTTGGAGTAAAGTCGCTTCCACGCATCCAGCACCATGGGGCTGTGAGGCAGCATGTGACAAAAAAGGGGGTCCCTTCCCCTGCTTGCTCATGCCACCTCACCTCTCACCCTCACTTGCTCTAGTTATGAGTCGACTCAAAACAGGGATTTCACCTTTGATCGCCACTTCTCTAAAGTTGTTCGCCTTGGTGTTGGAGTAAAGACGCTTCCATGCATCCAGCACCATGGGGCTGGGCGGGAGCAGGTCCAGAGGGTTCTTTGCCTTGGGCTTAGGTGCCCCCTCCTCCCCTTCACCCCCTCCCGCTGCTGCCGCTGCTGCTGCTGCTGCTGTTGCTGGTGCTGCTGCTGCTTTGTCGTCCTGTTTGGGCTTCATAAGCTTGAATAGGGGAGAGTCCTCCCACTTGACGACCTCTGTAGGTACCTTGGCGATCTGAATGAGATGGGAGGAAAAGGAAGGGGATGGGAGGAAAGGGAGAGGCGAGAGGTGGATGCTGCTTTGTCGTTATGTTTAAGCTTCATGAGTTTAAAAAGAGGGGAATCCACCCACTAGATGATCTCTGTGGAAATCTTGACTCTTATCTTATCGTCCTGTTTTGGCTTTATGAAACCAAGAAGAGACTGGCAGAAAGGAGCGAGACACTGACGAGTCCCCGTCGTACGAGGGGTGCAGCAATCAGATCGAAAGGTAATGATGCAAAGGGAGGTAATGTTGCCGATGCAGCTACAGCTGCTCATGGTGCTCCTGCCTTTGTATCTTTGCCCTTTGATGTGGTTACTGCACCTTTCGTACGACGGGGACTCGTCTGTGTCTCGCTCCTTGCTGCCAGTCTCTTCTTGCTGAAGGAGAGGCGAGAGGAGAGAGAGGGAAGAGAGAGAGGAGGAAGCAGGAACGGCGAATGTTGCTTTGTCGTCCTGTTTCGGCTTCATGTGGTTTGAAGGGGGGAATCTTCCCACTTGATGATCTCTGTGTGGGTATTTTGGCAGTCTCCATGATAGGTGGAAAGACGGAAGGGGGGGAGGATAGGAGGGGGGAAAGAGGGAGAGGCCGCAAGGTGGGTGCCGCTTTGTCGTCCAGTTTGGGCTTCATGACCTTGAAGAGGGGTGAGTTTTCTCACTTGAGGATCTCTGAGGGTACTTTGCCAATCTCTGAATGATAGGGGAGAGAAGATCGGATGGGAGGAGGGGAGATGCTATACAACCTTTCCAGAATGTTATACCACAGCCTTCAACCGTTCCTGGTCAGGTGAACCAGCGTGAAGAGTTATAGACGCACATGCGGGTATTCCACCATACCTGTTTGCCTACTTCGCCGTTTTCTGATTAGAATGACCCTTTTCCGCCTGCCCCACATCCCCAATGGCAGCCTTGAACTGCTACTGATGCACGAGGGTGAAGAAGTATCGCTGCATGTGGGGATAATCCCTCATGAACTTGCACCTACCTGCCCACCTGCCTGCATACCATGGTAGCCTAAAACGAATCACACAAGTGACGTTGCGACCTCACCTGCTCCTCCTCCCCAATGACAGCCTTGAACTGCTTCTGGTGAACCCGGGTGAAGAAGTATCGCTGCATGTGGGGGTAATCCTTCCTACCTACCTGCCAACTAACCACGTTACCCTCTCCATCCCCCTCCTCCTCACCTGCTCGACCTCCCCAATCACGGCCTTGAATTGCTTCTGATGCACCAGGGTAAAGAAGTATCGCTGCATGCGGGGGTAGTAACTCTTCCTACCTGCCAACTAACCATGTTACCTCCTCCCTCCCCCCTCTTCCTCTCACCTGCTCCACGTCCCCAATGACCGCCTTGAACTGCTTCTGGTGAACGAGCGTGAAGAAGTACCGCTGCACGTGGGGGTAATCCCGCATGAACTCCTCACTCCACAGGCCCCGGATGGGTGACGTCAGCACCGACACCGTGATGATGTCAGCGAGCGTCACCCGTTCCCCCACCAGGTACGTGTGGTTGGCAAGATGCGAATTCAGAGCTGCTAGCCCCCTCTTGGCGTTCACTATAGCCTTTTCCTCCACCTGCGAAATCCAAGTATGAGGCAAGAGGACATTAGGCAAGAAAGATTAGAGGGATCAGAAGGGCGTCACCCGCTCCCCCACCAGGTAGGTGTGGTCGGCAAGGTAAGAGTTGAGTGCTGCGAGTCCCCTCTTGGCGTTCACTATAGCCCTTTCCTCCACCTGCAAGAGGGGGGAAGAAGGGTTGGATGGAACTTGGAAGGGATCAGGAGGTTGTCACACGCTCACCCACCAGATAGGTGTGGTCAGCAAGATGCGAGTTCAGAGCAGCCAGACCCCTCTTGGCGTTCACCAGGTACGTGTGGTCGGTGAGTTGCTCCCCCACCAGGTACGTGTGGTCGGTGAGTTGCTCCCCCACCAGGTACGTGTGGTCGGTGAGTTGCTCCCCCACCAGGTACGTGTGGTCGGTGAGTTGCTCCCCCACCAGGTACGTGTGGTCGGTGAGTTGCTCCCCCACCAGGTACGTGTGGTCGGTGAGTTGCTCCCCCACCAGGTAGGTGTGGTCGGTAAGTTGCTCCCCCACCAGGTAGGTGTGATCGGTGAGTTGCTCCCCCACCAGGTAGGTGTGGTCGGTGAGTTGCTTCCCCACCAGGTACGTGTGGTCGGTGAGTTGCTCCCCCACCAGGTACGTGTGGTCGGTGAGTTGCTCCCCCACCAGGAACGTGTGGTCGGTGAGTTGCTCCCCCACCAGGTACGTGTGGTCGGTGAGTTGCTCCCCCACCAGGAACGTGTGGTCGGTGAGTTGCTCCCCCACCAGGTACGTGTGGTCGGTGAGTTGCTCCCCCACCAGGTACGTGTGGTCGGTGAGTTGCTCCCCCACCAGGAACGTGTGGTCGGTGAGTTGCTCCCCCACCAGGTACGTGTGGTTGGTGAGTTGCTCCCCCACCAGGTACGTGTGGTCGGTGAGTTGCTCCCCTACCAGGTACGTGTGGTCGGTAAGTTGCTCCCCCACCAGGTACGTGTGGTCGGTGAGTTGCTCCCCCACCAGGTACGTGTGGTCGGTGAGTTGCTCCCCCACCAGGTACGTGTGGTCGGTGAGTTGCTCCCCCACCAGGTACGTGTGGTCGGTGAGTTGCTCCCCCACCAGGTACGTGTGGTCGGTGAGTTGCTCCCCCACCAGGTACGTGTGGTCGGTGAGTTGCTCCCCCACCAGGTACGTGTGGTCGGTGAGTTGCTCCCCCACGGTGAGTTGCTCCCCCACCAGGTACGTGTGGTCGGTGAGTTGCTCCCCCACCAGGTACGTGTGGTCGGTGAGTTGCTCCCCCACCAGGTACGTGTGGTCGGTGAGTTGCTCCCCCACCAGGTACGTGTGGTCGGTGAGTTGCTCCCCCACCAGGTACGTGTGGTCGGTGAGTTGCTCCCCCACCAGGTACGTGTGGTCGGTGAGTTGCTCCCCCACCAGGTACGTGTGGTCGGTGAGTTGCTCCCCCACCAGGTACGTGTGGTCGGTGAGTTGCTCCCCCACCAGGTACGTGTGGTCGGTGAGTTGGGAGTTGAGTGCCGCCAGGCCCCCCGCTTGGCATTCACAGCAGGGTATTTTTTAGAATTATCAAAAACCAGGGCCTATCCGATCCACTGGTAGACAGGAGCCTGGTGTTGCTGGTTTTTGAGAATTCTAAAAAATCCCCCGCTTGGCATTCACAGCAGCCTTCTCCTCCACCTGCGAAGGGGGAACGGGGCTGGAGTTACTTACTCGGAAAGAGACATGGGAGACGAGTAACAACAGCATGCAGGAAGGTGTGGCTGGCAAACGAAGCAGTTGTAGCTTTACCAGAGCAGGGCCGTACCTCCTTGCCTCCGTTGCCATACTGGTAGAGCAGCCCTATCCACTGGTGCACGGGAGGGGCCTTTGATTGAACGCTTGACTCACACACGATCTTCCCACCTTGCTACCACAGGGCCGCACCTGCTTGCTTGAACCACGAAGCAGCTTTACAGAGCAAGGCCGTGCCTCCTTGCCTGCCATACTGGTAGAGCGGCCCTTTCAGAACCACTGGTAGACAGAAGCACTTCAGCCTTCACTCACACGCACCTGTCTTCCTTTCCTACCGTACGACCAGAGCAGGGACATACCTCCTTGCCTCTGTTGCCAGACTGGTAGAGCGGGTGTATCCGATCCACTGGTAGACAGGAGCCTGGTGTTGCTCCTCCTTGGGTAAAGCGGCCCTATCCGATCCGCTGCTACATGGCAGTGGAGACTGGTGGTTTTCAAACGCTTGATTTACACATACTGTACTCCGACCCTCATCTCTTCACAAATCCTTGCTTACCTCCGGAATCCTGGTGCCATACTGTTAGAGACGCCCGATCCTGATCCACTGGTACACAGGAGCCTGAGGTCACACCAGAGCTTGACCCACACACACCCGTCCGCCTACAAGCTAAGCAGCTTTATCAGCCAACCCTCATCCGTTTTGCTAGTCCTTGCTTACCTCCGGAATCCTGGTGCCATACTGGTAGAGCGGCCCGATCCACTGGTACACAGGGGTGTCAATCTCATTGGTTGCAAAGTCAATCCACTGCTCCACCTGCGCCTGTTGGGGGTAACAAAAGAGGGTGGAGAGGGGGCAGCAGAGAGGGTAGCAGAGAGGGCAGCATGGAGGGTAGCAGAGAGGGCAGCAGGGAGGGCAGAAAAAAGGGCATGTGAGGCCTGACATAAGGCTCTATACTGGTAGAGCGGCCCGATCCACTGGTACACAGGGGTGTCAATCTCATTGGTTGCAAAGTCAATCCACTGCTCCACCTGCGCCTGATGGGGGTAACAAAAGAGGGTGGAGAGGGGGCAGCATGGAGGGTAGCAGAAAGGGCATGTGAGGCCTGACATAAGGCTCTATACTGGTAGTGGGCCGATCCACTGGTACACAGGGGTGTCGGTCTAATTGGTTGCGAAGTCAATCCACAGCTCCACCTGCGCCTGATGAAGGGAGTAAAGAGGGCGGAGAGGGGAGTGGAGAGGGCAGAAGAGAGGGCAGCAGGTAGGGCATGTGAGGCGTCGCACAACGCTCCATACCGGTACACAGGAATGTAAATCCCATTCGTGGCAAAGTCAGTCCACTGCTCCACCTGCGCCTGATCAGCGGAAAGTGCAGAGGGAAGCAAGAATAGAGGGTAGCATTGAGAGAAAAAAGTGCAAGGAGAGGAGGATGGGCACCAGAGAATGATTGTAAAATGAATAAAACGTAGTTTCAATGGACATACTACTATCTACGTAGTAAGTCGAACATATGATTATAACAACATGAGGAGTGAGGCTGGACGGGCATCAGAATACTGGCACATCCTTCTCGGACGCAAGCTGTCAGTTGCTCATACATCACACCGGGACAATTTGTGGCGTTCGCCAACACGCATATTTAACCGGACTTGTCAAATTTCACGCATATTTTTGTGGCCGCTGTGGTTGATGCACGATCACGAGAGTAGACCGTGCCCCATTCCCGTATGGAGTGTTGTCTTGTGACAAGATGGGGCATCGTGTGCACTTCTTCCGTGACAGTGCATCAACACGCTGACCACGGACAAGTTTGGAGGGACCAGCAGAGGGCGTAAAAAAAGGCTACTGCTGACCTGCCTTGCCTATTGAAACTTCAGGCTTAGATGCTGCTCGCAGCTCACCTGCTCGTACGCATTCGACCCGAACAGGCCCTTGTCCGCTAGCCTGGCGACTGCCGAAGGAAAGCGGGAGGGTTTACGGATGTGGGAGAGGGGAGGAAGAAGCTTCAGGCTAGTAAAGTGAGAGCTTGGCGATTGATAGAAGAGCAGAGAAGGACAAAGATGCGGGACGGGAACAGCAAATAGAAAAGTAATAGGACAGTGACAGCAGCAGCAACAGCAATAGCAGAAGCAATAGCAATAACAACAGCAGTAGCACCAACAGCAGCAGTAGCAGCATCAGCAGCAACAGCAAAAACACAATTAGCAGCAGCAGCAGCGTCGGCGGCGGCGGTAGCAGCAGCAGCAGCAAAACGCAATAGCAGCAGCAACAACAACACTAGCAGCAGCAGCAACAACAGCCCAGTGTATCTACCCACAACAACAGCAGACAACAGCAAAAGCAAATGACGGCCACAGCAGCCTACCGTATCTGGCAATGGCATTACTCTCGAAGATTGGCCCATCAGGAGTGACAATCAGTGGGATCTGCAACACAGCACAGCACAGCATAGCATAGCAATGCACAGAGCAGAATACAACACATGGAGTGTTTTGAGTGCTGTCGAAGACTGACCCATCAGGAGTGACAATCAGTGGGATCTGCAACACAGAAGCACAAAACATAAATTGGATAACACTAAAGCACACGAAAACATACCCAATTGCAAATATGATAAGTGTGAGCCTTTCATGCACTCGAATTTTATCCCGTTGTTTCCTTCCAACTGCACTCCCTTTCAGATGTTGCTCTCTTGCGCACCACAGCACGCCCGCCAGGTCCAGAATTACCTTGCATCTGGCCATTCTTCCTAGCCCATTCATTCTTACCTTGCCACTCGGAGGAAGCTTCAGAAACTCCTCCGACTTGTTGGTGACGCCCCACTGGAAGGGTGGGATCTCGATCTTCACGCCCACCAATCGGTTGGTGGTGGGTAGGGTACCTTACCAACAGGTTGATGCTCTTTTCGTACCTTGCCAATCGGAGTGAGCTTCAGAAACTCCTCCGACTTGTTAGTGACGCCCTACTGGAAGGGCGGGATTTCAATCATCACGCCCACGACTTGCTAGTCAGTCCCCTCCCCACCTCTAACGGCTCTTCCTAGTCCTTTCCCTACCTTGCCGATCGGGGTGAGCTTCGTAAACTCTTCCGACTTGTTGGTGACGCCCCACTGGTATGGGGGGATCTCGATCTTCACGCCAACGAATTGCGCCGCGATCAGCGCCTTATAGGCGTTCTTGTTGTGCGGGGAGGTGTAGAGTTTCTGCGCGAATGGCGGGAGGATGCGGAAAGAGAATGGTGAGGGGAGAAGCAACGGCAGACAAATTTAAGGCGCCTCAAAGATCGTCTCAAATCCATCCAGACTCTTTTACGATAGGCCAGATCGACTTCTTGCCCGCTCCAAACCCTCACCCCTGCGACATCAAGGAATCTCGATCTCTTACTAGGCCTCCACGGAGATCGGTGGTAATCGGTGCTAGTCGGTGCTAAGTGGTACTGTTTGGTGCTTCATAGAATAGGCCAGATCGGCTGCTTGCCAGCTTTAAACCCTCACCGCTGAAATAACCAGGCACCTCGACCTCAGACTAAGCCTCCACGGAAACTGGTGCTAATCGGTGCTAATCGGTTCTGATTGGTGCTGACTGGTGCTTATCGGACAAGCTCCTATGCGAACACACGGGCTTGAAGATCCGGTAAGGCCAGGGTGCTTTGAACATTTCAGAAGCATCACCGGAAATTCTAGAAAGGCGTAGATCAACAAAATCAGAAATCCGCAACCTAACATCCAAGAGAGTGCGGCGACCGTCGGAGTGAGGACGGAAGTAGATAAAAATCTTCCGATCTCGCCGCTGCTAAGATCGCTTCCGATCTTAAAGCCCATACGCGCGCGAGTACATTATTTGCGACGCATACTAGCCTACGGGGAATCGTACGCGATATAGGATTAATCAAGTAAGGAGCAGGGTTGAAAGTTATCGAAGCGTACTAGAGTCATGGCGACGATCCGCTGGGGCAGCGCACGAGCAGACGCAGGCTTGGCGGAACAGCCAAGCGGGGTGAGGGCGAGAAAGCTGCTGCGAGGTGCAACGCCGACAACAAGCATATGCGACTTCGAGTTAGCACCAACACTCGGGTCTTTATACGAGCATACTGTACTTGGGTGGAACAGCTTGCTCGCTCCAACCTGGGGTTTGTTTCGTGCGAGTTGGTCTGATGAGGGGAGAGGAGGGAACCGCAGAGGAATTTGAGAATTCGAGATCGATGAGGGACGGAAATATGGAAAAGTATATTCGAGGTTCAAATGGAAACAGGAGACCCAGTGACAAGTCAAGATTCCCGCGTGTTGAAAAACGGTCGAGTATGGTTGAGAAAGATAAAAATGGGTGCTACAGAGTGCGTGAAGGTAGAGAGTATGGTGACGAGAGGGGGGGGGGTTTATGATACAGAGTCGGATGGGATGGCGTGGCCATAAGGCATTCAAGCATCACCTTACCGCTCGACCGTTTTGCGATGTCAATGACCCTACCCAACCGTAGTGCGAGTGCTCTCATCAGTCTCGGCCCAGGACCTCCAAGGATCTCTCGTCAACAAATGCCGACCGTTGGTAACTCCAAAATGTCACGCTTCGAGGGCTCACATTAGGGCGTGTTACATTTTCTCCGAGGCCTTTTTTGTCTGGACGACGCTCCGTCGATGGTACGGATCATCTCGTACGGGCTGTCCGAGGGTCACGTCCGGAACAAGCCTCGTCCGAACGTCTGGTAGTGGAACAATTTTGAGATTCGAAATTCAAAATTGTGAACACTCTGTAACACAATACCACATGGTCGCGATTTTCGCCCACCACAAATTTGCGCCTCGGCAACTCGAGTGCATGCCACTCGAGGTTCACTTGAAATGCGCCTCGGCGATCTGTGCATCGCGTGATTGGTTTTGAGCGGCTAGACAGCTGATTGGCGGATTCCATTTTCGTTTCAGAATTTCGCCCGCCAATCAACACGCGGTCCGTTTTGCCTGTCCACCTGACGGACAGCATGCATCCGGACCAACGTCTATGCGGGGAGCACTGAAATAGTTCCATACTCGGTACAGACGCATGCGACGTCGCATGCCGATATGCGAAACTCGTTACCAGCAATTTGTTCGGACGGTCAATGGGACGGACGACGTAAGGCCAAAAATGTAACACGCCCTTAGTGGGAGGACTCTCTAAAGAGTCATCCACCGATGTAATGGCACTCAATCGTTATTGCTCAAGTTCAAGAGATAAAAAAATGATTGTCATAGATAGCCTTGCGTACCGTATGTCATCCCCATCAGATTATTTTGGGAAATAAAAACCTATCGCAAAACAGAGAGTGAAGATAGTCTCATGGGCGAGAGCTACCTCATATAATCATTTCGACATCCGTTACACAACACCCATTGCCTCACCACCACCAAGAAGAACCCCGTCGTCGCTGAAACACCTACGACCACCAAGAGAGCAATCCGAGCCCATCGCCGTTAATATCACCCTGCATACACGCAATGCACCGTAAAAACCTTATAAATGGCGTCTTGGAATTCACGAACCACGTTGATAAAAACCTCAAAGGAAAGGATATCACACATGCGTCACGCTGTGGTGTGGAGGAAGGAGTCAAATGTATGAGGCGCATTGATAAGGGGGTCATGGGCTATGGATCCATGAGTCATGACTCGTGAATCATTGTACTATGAGTAATGAGACAGAAGTCATGAGTGATGAGACAGAAGTCATGAGTGATGAGACAGAAGTCATGACTCGTGTACAGATGAAGGTTTGTGCAGTGGTCATGTAGAGGCTTTCAAACATTATGCGAACAAAGGCAGTGGCTCCCTTATCTGGGAGTTGTTTTCTGAAAGTGGTTCTTACAACGATCTCCATAGTCGCAAAGGCAGTGGCTCCCTTATCCTGCTCCACAGGCAGTGGGGGATACTTCACACTCACCACCTTGAACCGAATCTGATGGAACGGATGGGCAGGGCATGTACGGTAGTGAGGAAGAGCAAAGGTCTGCCAGCGCAGCGCAATAGCCCTCTCCTCTTGCTCCACAGGAAGGAGGAGAATAAGGTCTTTATGATATGGCATGGTATGCGTCGTATGCCATACGAAGCATCCCCCCTCCTGGTATGGCAAATGGGATGGCACTTGCTGTGTCACGACATTGCACCCTGGCACTGCCAGTCAATGCTAGTCAATGCGAGTAAGCACAAGTAAACAAGAAAGCCAGCGCCAGTCAACGCCAGTTGCTGTGTGACCACCTGGCATTGTGGCACTGCTAGTCATAGCTAGTCAACGCTAGTCAACAACGAGAGTCATACCAGTTCATCCATGTCTAGGAACATGTCGTTGTCGTTGAACTTCCACACCCATAGCTTCTCCTGCTCGTCACTGCATGGGCACAAAGGCACACACACAGGCACACGGACATGCGAAGGCTCAAAAACATGACATATGAATCGACTCATAAGGTATGGAAGTGAGGACGAGCAAATGGTTGTCAGGGAACATGTCATTGTTGTTCAACTTCCACACCCACAGCTTCTCCTGCTCATCACTGCATGGGCACGAGCAAGGGCACACACATGCATACGGACATGCAAAGACACACAAACATGACTTATGAGACGACTCAAACGGTATCGAAGTGCAATGAGCAACTGGTTGTCAGGGAACATGTCGTTGCTTCCACAGCCATAGCTTCTCCTGCTCGTCACTGCATAGGAGGGCACAAGGGCGCACACACACAGGCGGATTGACAGGCACACGGACATGCAGGGGAACATGTCATTGCCGTTCAACTTCCACAGCCATAGCTTCTCCTGCTCGTCACTGCATGGCGGGGCAGGCACACGGACACGCATGCAGGGAAACATGGACAGGCACACGGCTGCAGACACAGGCGGATTGACTAGGCACACACACACACAGGCAGACTGACAGGAACACGGACATGCAGGGGAACAAGTCATTGTCGTTAAATTTTCACACCCACAGCTTCTCCTGCTCGTCACTGTTATGGTCATACGGAACAAGGGCATGGGCGAGCAGACAGACACACACAGATTGACATGTGATTTTCAAGTTGACTCAAATTCACAGCTCCTTCAGCTCATTGCTGCATGTATGGGAAAACAAGGGTATACGTGTTCCCACACAGGCATATTGACAGGTGGCTTTTGGGTTGACTCAAAAGTCACAGGTTTTCCTGCTCATCACTGCATACTCTTGTTGCCATTAGGCACACGGGCACATGCGTGTAGATACAGGCAGATTGTCAGGCACATAGACATGCACGGACACAGGGGTATGGGCTCACATGAAACGGGGGAGTCAAGCTCACCATGAGAAGGGTCATGGCAGAACTTCTCATGCACACACGCCCATGCAGCCATGCATTCATCATGTACTATTGGAGGACTCATACCATAGAGGTGGTTTTTGAGGCATCAAAAAACACGTCAAATTTGAGATGCCTCGAAAACCCTTCATCATGTAAAGTTGGATGACTCAGATCATGGTTTCAACCTGACATGCGTGACAGCACTGCTCATGCACACATGCCCATGCATCCATGCATTCACTGATTTAGAGTTGGATGACTCAAGTCATGACTCAACTCAACTCGACGTGCATGACACACACAGACAAGCTGTGATAGTGGGCATGGCAAGATTGCTGATTCACACATGCTTATGCCCTCATGCAAGCATTCAATATGTACAGATGAATTCATGGATGGCCCACACAACGCTTAGAACCAGACATCCGTAAAAGCACTCATTCACGCCCATGCATCCATGCATTGAATACGCACAGATGCAAATCTCACACCAACATTTCCAAGGGACGGACATGCAAGACACACATACCCATGCAGTCACGCACATATGCACAGATGTGGACATGCAGATGTACATTTGTACAAATGCAGACCCACGCACGCACATGCAGAGCATATGCCGTACAGTGTAGTGGCCCATAAGCATGTTCAGCCGTTGGTTAGTGCTCACAAAACTGAAGGCTCTTGTAGGTTGTAATGAGGAATGTGTATATCCGAAAAAAAGTCCAGCGATACTGCAGAACAGACAAAATAGCGGGGTCATTGGAAAAAGAGAAGGGAAAATAGAGACACTGAGTAGAGAAAACACAAAGCGCAAACTAGGAAGCCCACGAGCATACTGAAGTGGCATGTTTCGAGACGTCTCCAAAGTTTTGAGTTCTGAGGGTATTGAAGTAGCATGTTTTGAGTTCTAAGACGTCTCAAAACCAAAAAGTGGCATGTTGCATCGCATCACATTCCACAGGCCTGCACCTCACCCCTCCATTCCCTCAACCCTCCTCCTCCCCCCTCCCCCCTTCTCCCCGCCTCCCCCCTTTCCCCCCCTCTCCCCCCCTTAATATTTATGCATCATTAGAGGGAGGCACATGATGAGAGCATACCAAACAGCCCTGTGTCATCGCATTTCACCAGCCTTCCCACAAGCACTCCCCCGCATCTACCCCACATCACCTCTTGAGTCGATTCAAAACTCATTAAACAAGTGGCCAGGACAGGTAAACGCACCATACAGGCCTGCATCGCACTTCACCAGCCTGCCCACTAACACTTCCCCACATCTATCTACCCCACATCACCTCTTGAGTCCATTTAACACTCATTAAACAAGTGAGCAGGGCAGGTAAACGTACCATAGAGCCCTGTGGCATCGCATTTCACCAGCCTGCCCACAAGCACCTCCCCTGCAAATGGTGAGAAGACGACCAGTCGAAAGCGAACCTGGCGAGTGTGTGTTGAGAACGGATGGGGCAAACCAGCGGGGAAAAAGAGAAGGCACACAATGAGAACATGCAAAACAAAACAACCCTGTGGCATTGCATTTCATCAGCCTGCCCACAAGCACCTCCCCTGTAAATGGTGAGAAGACGACCAATCGGAAGCGAACCTGATGGGTGTGTATTGAGAAAGGATAATAAGGAAAGGGTTGCATGGATAGAAGTTGGGGAGAAGGGATGACAGCAGAGGGCGAGAGAGCCAATACATCCGTAGCCAACTTGATTGGGTTGACTTTTGAGTCGACTCAAAAGTCAACTAGCCAACTTGATTGGCACACTTTGGAAAAGGAAGGGAAAAGGGGAGTGAGATGGAGGGAGAACGAGAGAGAACCTGATGTGCATAGTTGAAGGAAGGAATGGGCAGAATGAGTGAGGAGGACGGGAGGAGGAAGAGACTGATAGACTGATGGAAGGGTGCAAGAGGAGTAAGGAAATAAGAATACAAGACAAGAGACGATACGAGAGACGAGAGCCGAACTGACGTTTGGGTATGCATGGAAACAAACAAGGAGAATAGGAGAGGGTAAAGAGTGAAGAGCGCGTGAGGGAGCTAAGCAGTTGTATGCGTGACAAGTGAAAAAGGGGCAATAGGAAGGGAGTCAGGCAGTGAGAGAAAATAACACCGATGTATCATGGTGAAGTGATACAGATGCTTGGAAGCGAGCAGAATGGTTTGGGGAGAAGATGGGCGGTAAAAGGAAGACGAACGAAAGTGGAATTAGATGTGAAAGGGAGGAAAAGGCGAGGGGAAGCGAGGTGGGAGGGAGATGGGAGGGAGGGGGAGGTGGAATGGAGCAGAGGGCGTACAGTGAAATGAGGGCCAGGGTCGGATGGGTAGATAAAGCCTCCTTCCACTGACTGCAGGTCGTACAGCGATATGCAGAGACCCACATTGCGCAACACCTGATCGTGGCTCAATGGGGCGAACACACATGGAAAAGAAGGGATTCATAAATATATGGGCATGAATTAGAGAGTACGGATAGCTCCATTAGAGAAACACAAAAGTACAGTGATACAAGGATCAGACGCTCACTTGAAATGCCTTACACGGCCATTAGATGCCTTGTCACATACCTGACACATTTGACCGTTTGGATAGACGGTCACTAGACCATTAGACGCCTTGTCACATACCTGACACAGACGGTCATTAGACCATTAGAAGTCTTGTCACATACCTGACACATTTGACCGTCTGGATTGACGGTCACTAGACCATTAGACACCTTGTCACATACCTGACTGACACATTTGACTTTGGTCTCAAGACGTGAAATGCCGTGTCCCATACCTTATCGAAGTATTTGGCTTTAATTTCTGAGCTGACGGCCGTCAAATGCGGGCGGTGCAGGTCGTGAGGCGCCACGCGAATGTCATCCTCCATCTCCGTTAGTACAAACATCGTGGCGTCTTATAACGAATCTCGCTTCAGTATAATGCGAGCAGTCTGTTTCGATTATGTCATCTCATTTTTACTGAAACGAACTTCGATGAGCTCTATGTCGGATCCCGCTACTGCCTCGATTGCTAGCACTTCTCCAAGCAGCTGGAGACCGGATTGGCCGAAAAGCCGTCACAAATTCCGAAAATGCGCAGCTTAGCAGTCGTTACTAGCTCCGCTTTAAAATGTTAGGTAGTCCAACTTCGATCCTCCAATCCCGAGCTCTGTCACTTCAAGCCATCGTCCGGACTGGAATCACTCAGCACTACAGGTGATTTAAAAAAAAAAACTCAGCGAAGGTCAGTCGTTCCTGAAGCGTTTAAGTAAGCCACGAGGCAGAAACGGTCGGAGCCGCTCGCTCGGCAGCAGAAACGATACGCGCCTCGACTCGTTCAGGAACAAGGCTTAGTACGGCACTAATCGGTCCAACTTGAAATGGGTGGTGTCCCGTGACTAACACAATTATAGCGAGGATACTGACAAATCTTGGTTCCAGAGCGGGAAATCATGGGCTTCGCTAAAACCTGGCCTCATGTTACAAGGTTGTTTCTTAACTACGAAATATGACAGACTTAGAGTACATGTTTCAAAACCACTTTAAAAAAAAGTACTACAATAGTTCTTTCTAACAATGTTCATGTCTATCATGAAGGCACCTGGGCATTCTCTTACCAGCTTCAGAATGGTTAGCGGTATGTACACATTTGGTAGCTAGCGAACACACACCCATTCCTCTCACCACAATGGTGCCTCATTATGGTCTAGTGTAGTGTAGGCGTACCGAACAGCGTACCGGTATGATGCTGAAGTTCATAATGGTGCGTCTGTTCGGTGTGCCGTTACAAAACGAGTAACGCCATACCAGTCTTTCGCTACTTGCACATCACAATACAACAACCTGCCATCTGGCGATCTCTGATTGACCAACACATCGGCAATTATCTCCGCTTGACCCCACCCATGAGTCTGGCAACAAGCAGAAGAATCAGGGGACAGACGAAGCAGCAGCAGCACACAGATTAGCTCAGGAATCAAGATTTGGGGAAGAAAGACTAAGAGAAAAGAGAGCAGAGAGAAGGGTTTAGGGTTGTTGAATGCTAGAGCGCCCTACCTCAAGTGCAAGGAAGCCAAAGGGACGAAGGAACGTGGATGCATTCTGAGAGATGTGGCGCAAACATGCCGTTCCATCCGTGTTCATAAAAATCAACCAGGGAAATTATAGGGCAGTTGAGTGAGCGCGGGACCAACCTCGAGCGCAAGGAAGCCGAAGGGGCGAAGGAAGGTGGATGCATTCTGAGAGATGTGGCGCAGAGATGCCGTGCCATCCGTGTTGGTATCACCATCACCATCACCATCACCATCAGCAGCAGAGATTGTGCTATCAAGAGTAGCTGATGCACGAGCAGCAGATTTTGTACCATCAGCATGGCCAGCAGCACCACCGGTAGCATCCCCACGAGCATCACCAGCAGCAGCAGTGGCACCTGCAGTGGCCGCATCAGCAGCAACAGAACTGTACTCATCCTCCTTATAAGCGTCTCCATCAAGGGCCAGCGAGGGTTCATGTAGCCGCACCTCAGGTTGCAGCGAGGGCAGCAGATGGCATGGGATGTAGGGGGGGTTGCTCACTATGCCGTGCAGCCGACCATGCAGGCCCATCTCATGCAGAGGCGCAAACCAATCACCACGTGCCACGTGTACGTAGGCCTGAACGGAATGGGAACGAGGAGGGAACTCCGTTAGCAGCACTGGCAGCAACAGATGGGATGTATGGGGGGTTTGCTCACATGCCATGCAACGCACCATGCATGCGCATCTTGCGAAGAGGAATGAACCAATCACCACGTGCCACATGTAAGTGGGCCTGCGGGGTGGGGAAGAGGGGAATGGGTGAAGGAGAAAAAAATGGCGAGGTATCTAATTTGGGTGTTGCACACTTAAACTATGTTATGCATGCCCATGTTGTGCAGAGGCGAGGCACGAACCAATCACCACGTGCCACGTGTACGTGGGCCTGCAGGGGCGGGAAGAAAGGGGGATGACGAACAGATGAATGGGGGGAAAAGGGTGCATCCCGAACTGCACGGCATGCCAAGCATGCCCATGCTGCTCGCTACCCCAGGCATGGGATGGGATGGGATGGTTTGGGATGGGTTGGGATGGGTTGGGATGGGATGGGATGGGATGGGATGGGATGGAATGGGATGGGATGGGATGGGATGGGATGGGATGGGATGGAATGGGATGGGATGGGATGGGATGGGATGGGATGGGATGGGATGGGATGGGATGGGATGGGATGGGATGGGATAGGATGGGATAGGATGGGATGGGATGGGATGGGATGGGATGGGATGGGATAGGATGGGATGGGTTGGAATACGAGCAGTGATTTATAGAAGGATTTTAACCAACAGCCTGTATCTCGCCCGAGTAATTCAATGTCGATACCTCACACACCACTGAACGATCATTCAGGGTTTGAGGTGTAAGGTTTCAGGTTTCGGGTTTATGGTAGCATTCTCACCTGTAAGCCATATGTTGCCGCATTCAATGCAGCCACCTCACACGCCACTGGACTAGCATCCACAGCCACTACCACCACCTCCTCTCCTATCCCTCCTCGCTCTCCCGCCCCCCCACCCTCTTCATCCCCTCTTCTCACTCCATCCCCGCTCCTCTCTCCTCGGCCCTTCCCGCATCGCTGCTTCACACCACCCCTGCCCCTTCTCTCCCTCCTTTCCAGTAATTCCCGAGCCAAAGCCACAGCAATCGCCCCACTCCCCGTTCCCAAGTCCGCCCAAATCTCCTTCCCCGCCAACCCCTCCCTCTCCCCCAAGCTCTCCCCCTCCCTCCCCACTCTCTCCATCGCCTCAGCCTTCTCCATCCCCGCTACAGCCAGATCCACTAACAGCTCAGTCTCCGGCCTCGGTATAAGCACGCCAGGCCTGACAGCAACCAGCAGGTCGCGCCAGTGCGCCCCCCCCACCAGGTACTGTGAGGGCACGCGGAGGGACAGGCGCGCGCACCAGAGCAGGCGCAGAGAGGGGAAGGGCAGGCGGAGGGCTATCAGGGGAGAGGCGGAAGAAGAGTGGCTGGTGGTGGTGCTGGTTCCGGGAGGGGTAAATTGACTGTTGCCAGTTCTACTGCTGCTGCCCCAGTGCCCTCCATTTCCCATCAGCCGTACGTCTCTCCAACTCAACCGCTTCAAACGCCTCAACCACTCCTCACCGAGCCCATCACCCTCTCCCAAACAGACCCTATCCCCCTCCACCCCCTCATCCATTCCCTCTCCTTCCCTTCCCCCCTGCCCAGATCCTTCCATCACCAAACCCTTTTCCCTTGAAGTGCCAATATTTTCCTCCCTTGAAATTTCAGCCTCCACCCACCCAGCTGTGGCATCCTCTAATAGCCATTCTAACTCCTTCCGAAGCTCCTTCCTCGAAGGACCACCGTCGGATTGCTCCAGCCTGTCGCCGATCTCACCGTCGATCCGTCGCTGCTGTTCCACCTGCCACGTCAGCACCGCGTCCAGCGGCACGAGCGCTGCTGGCTCGTGCTCGCAGAGCGGGCGGCGGTCCTTGTCGTACACGGCAGCCCACCGGGACGGATCAGATTCGCAACGAGAGGGATCACTGATTTCACCAGAAGGTGGTACGGATTCTGATTCTGATTCTGATTCTGAGTCTGACAATATGGGATTGTGAATCAGGGATGCTGAAAGCTTTGGATACGGCAGCTTCTGCTCGTGAAAAGCCTGGAACAGACGTGAAATGGAGACCCCTAGAGGGTGTGAGCTTAACGGGGCCTCTCTGAATAGGTCTACGCGACGAGGTAGAAAGGATCGGTTGAGGAAGGTTAGTGGAAGCTGGAGGGTGGGACTTCTGATTGCCATCCGAAGCTGCATCATAGCGCGAGAGCCAGTTGACGGATGGAAGCGACTAGCTGACGGAGTTGAGTGATAGGACGACGGTGTTAGTAGACTAATCGACGACGTTGATAGTGGGTGGCAGGCGTGGTTCAGCTGCGTGTTGGAGGTGAGCCGCGCGCTACTACAGAAATTAGTTTATTTCTTCATCAAATGGCGCCTTGTACAAAATATTAATACTTACAATATGCTTCAGAAGCAAGCCTCGATGGCGCAGTCGGTAGCGCGTAGGTCTCATAGCATTCCGACTCCCAGTCAGCTGGGCGGAGCCATCCTAAGGTCGTGAGTTCGATCCTCACTCGGGGCAAGAATTTTGTTATCCACAAACGGGGAGAGTTGCACTTTCTGGATGTGTAGATTGTTTGGGAAAAGCTGATGTGGCGTTTTATTATCGACGGCTTGAGATCTGGATTACAATACTCCCCCCCAACAACTCCAAAAAAACTGCATACAAGCCCCCCTTGGCATCTATCTACAACATCCCATAGAGAGATATTTGTCAACACTTTGACAGCAAATTCCCTTGCTGGAAAGATTTTATATAAACTTGACATGTTGCAGTCATTCAAGGCTCAGTGAAGGCTAATTCTAGTATCGTTATAGATGACATTCCATTTCAACTACCGCATTACGATGGGTGTTTGATGTGACCTCAGCACCAGCTTCCACCCTAATCTCTCATGCTTGCTCCAAGACCAGCCAACAACCTGACCAAAAGACAATGCTTTGCCCCAAAGTGATTGATAATGATTGAGGCTCTTGGATGGGAAGCAACGGTGGTAGGATGGAGATGAGGAAGAGGGAGAGAAGGAATATTGGGAGAGGGAGAGGGAGTGAGGAAGAGAAGGGGTTGGAATATTGGGGGGGGGGGAGGGGGAGAGGGAGAAGAATGGGGTAAACATTGTGTACTTAGCAAGGGCATTGAATTTTGTGAGGATAGAGATGAAGCAGATGGCCTGGGGGAGAGAGAGGAAGAGAGAGAAAGGGGAAGAAGGGGAGGAGGGGTGGGAGAGTAATACGGGGTAAACATTGTGTATTTGGCAAACATATGGTCTGGGGGAGAAGGGCCGAGGGAGAGGAGGGGACAGGGGTGGGAGAGTATTATGGGGTGAACATTGTGTAGTTGACAAGGGGCTTGAAGTCAGTGAGTATGAAGATGAAACAGATGGTCTGGGGAAGTGAGAAGTAGTGGAGGGGTGGAGTCAGGGATATTGAGGTAAGAGAGAGGGCCAGAGGAGAAAGGAAGAGAAAGGGAATATGAAAGGAGGACATTGAGAGAATGTCTTGAGTGAGGGAGAGGGCAGTAGAGAAAGGAAGAAGAAAGGGAGAGAATATATAGAGGGGACAGGATGAGGATAAGCGAGAATGGAGTTAGAGAGATAGGCGGCGGTGCTCGGGAAAAGCTGGGAGTGAAACAAGGACATCAGTCGTGGAAAAATTGGCTTCGCCCGGACTTCAACCGGAAACCTTCAGTGTGTTAGACTGACGTGATAACCAACTACACCACGAAACCACACTTCCAAACACCAAAACAAATTTTGGTTCGGTAACCTTTGGCTCTATGTTACATAGTGTATGCAGGCATGCGTACCTTCACTTCTTTCAACATCATGGTTTTGACCACATTTCTGAGACTCAATATGTGGGGTACATACCACAGCTTGGCATACCATGGTTAATGAACACACAGGATGGTGCATGCACGCATGTGTGCATGTCATACTTTCACCACTTGCAGCACGATGGTCTTGTCTGAGTTGTTGAGATCCACTATATGAGGTAAATGCCCCAGCTTGATATACTATCGTTAATGAACACACAGTATGGTGTACGCACACATGTATGCATGTCATACCTTCACCACTTGCAGCATGACGGTCTTGTCTGGTTTCTGCAGATCCACTTTATGTGGAGCAGGCACTAGCTTGGGATACCAAGGACCATGAACACACTGCATGGGGCATCGTCGCATGCATGCATGCCATATTTTCACCACTTGCAGCATGATGGTCTTGTCTTGGTTCCAAGGATCCAATCTATGGGTTCATACACCGGCTTGGTACACAATGATAAATAAACACACAGCATGGGGCATCCATCTATGATTGTCGTACGTTCACCACTTGTAGCATGATGTACTTGTCTGGGTTTCTAAGACCCATTTTATGTGGAGCAGGGACCACCTTGGGATACCACGGACCATGAACAAACTGCATGGGGCATCGATGCATGCATGCATGCATGTCGTACCTTCACCAATTGCAGCATGATTGCCTTGTCAGGGTTCCGAAGATCCACTTTATGGGTACATGTTCCAGCTTGGCATACCATGGTTAATGAACATACACCATGGGGCATACATGCATGCATGCCAAACCTTCACCACTCGCAGCATGATGGTCTTCTCTGGGTTGCAGAGATTGACGCTATGCGAAGCAGGCACCAGCTTGGCAACAGTGTATCATGAGCACACGAGATTATGCACATGCATGTCATACCTTCACCGCATGCATTGCAGCATAATGGTTTTGACTGGGTTGTTGAAGTCCACTGCGGGTACATGCCCCAGCTTGGCATACCATGGTTAATTAACACACAGCATGGTGCATGCATGTAAGCATGTCATACCTTCACCACCTGCAGCATGATGGTTTTGTTCGGGTTGCTAAGATCCACCATTGGTACCCACCCTTGGTACCGAGCATGATGGGTATGCAGTGCAGGCACCAGATTGGTACACAAAGATAGAATAAATACACATTTTGCGCCATACACATATGCATGCATGCATCTATGATTGTCATACCTTCACCACTTGCAGCATGATTATATTGTCTGGGTTGCAGCAATCCACTTTATGTGGAGCAGGCACCAGCTTAGCTACATTGTCGATCAGGCCTGCTCGGTCAAGCCCCTCATTGGCTCGCTACTCAAAGATAATCCCGAACTGTTCAGAGAAGATAGACATGTGATAGGATGCATGGTGACACTATAAAGAGGATGAAAACTGAAGAGCGAAACAGCGAATCAAGGACTTCGTTGACTTGCTTATAGAAGATAGTAGCGAAGTGTACAGTGGAGGAGGAGCATCTAATGAAATGCACAAGGAGCCTATAAAAAGGATGATGACTGAAGCGCCCTGGTGTCATGCTCCCAGCCTACCATCATCATGCGCCTGACTTCACACCCTGCACCTCATACCCACCACCATGCACCCACCGAGTCGCCGACTGCTGTGTTGCCTTGCCATGCCTCAACACCGCCTCCCCCAACTCCCACTCTCTTCCCCTCTCCTTGCCCTCATTGGCTCATGACTCAACACAAGCCACCTCTCATCACATCACACTCACCTGCTCATACACACACTGCTGTGTCTCCTCGGCTTGCCTCAATACCATCTCTGCCAACTCACATGGCAATACCCTCTCCTGTCCCGCCTCCACTTCCCCCTCGCCACCAACCCCATGCTCCTCCTTTCCCCCCTCCTTTCCTCCTTCCTTTCCTCGCTCCTTTCCTCCCTCATTTCATTCTTTGCCCCCTCCTCCTCTACTTTCTTTTTCTCCTTCTCCTTGTCCTCCTCCTCCTTCGCCTGTTCACCCTGCTCCCCCTTCTCTCCCTTCTTCCCATCTTTGGTATCCTCTCTAGTCCTCACAAACAGCAGCACCTTGCACCCAGACTCCACACTCACAGATTGAGGCTGCGGGATGTCAATTGGAGGGCGAACAGTGGGGGAAAGATGAGGGAGAAGAACGAGGGGAGGAGGGGGAGCAAGGGGGGTTTCCACTATGCATTATTGCGAATAGCAGCGCCTTGCACCCAGAGTCCACACTCATAAACCGAGGCTGCGGGATGGCAAAGGGAAGGCGAACGGAAGGGACAAGCGGAGGGAGAGGGGGACCAACGGGAGTGTTCGTTAAGCATTCTCACAAACAACAGCGCCTTGCACCCACACCAAGCTC